TAAATATTTTCTATTTGAATAAGACATAGAAAGAAAATACGAGTATTTTGTTTTTGTTTTGACAATTTATCAAAAAAGTGAGATTCCCAATCGACGAGTGTGGTTCCAACGAAATAGTAGTGAAATTCGAGGAAATTCAGTATTTGATGTCATCGTCTCTGTTTCCATCGTCGTCAGCGTGTCAGCATCATCAGCGGCTTAATCACCTAATAATATTTTGTTTGTATGCTGGGCACACGATCAACCATCTGTGCAATGTATATGTATATATACACGCTACGCGCGCGCATTTTTCACTGAATGTCGGTGTCGCACAATTTGCTCTTTGTCATTTTACTTCAGCATACAAACACTATTGTTATTTAAATTTTGCTATGTGTATGTTGTTGCTGCTGTTTTTTTTCGCTCCCTCAGTCGTCTTCTCTTGCTCCGGGTGCAACACATTCCTTCTTGATAGTGATGGCCACCCAAAGTCATTCCGCCTTGCCAAACATATGCACGAGGTGACTATAATCGGGTAACAAGTGTTGCACAGCCGATCCGATCATCGTTCTCTCTATCTTTCATTCTAACCCCCTATTCCGGACGACGACTAAGGAAAAAAAAACAATTTTGACGTCAGCTTAATCTGGCGTATAATATCGGTCATGAAGGAAACAAGCAGAGAGAGAGAGAGAGAGAGTGAGGCATGCACGCATATATATATCGAATGAAAATGCGGCACACGGAGGGCAACAACACGACGCACAACATAAAATATAATATATTGCCGAAATCAATGACTCAACATTTAATCGCTGTGCCAAAGACTTGGCCGATCAAAGTTTAAAAGGTAACACGGGAGGGAAACTCTTGTCTGGAAAATCAATTAATTGTGACTTTTAGCGAACCGTTTAGCATTGTGTGCACTTGGTTTTCCTTTTCTCTCTCTCTCTCTCTCTCTTTCTCTTTCCTTCTCTTTCCTTCTCTTTCCACATTTTACATGATGCAAATAAGTCAAGGAAAAAAATTACCGAAAATGTATCGCACTATGTACGTCAATCGTTATTTTAAATGAGCTATAATATTCAGGAGCTCCTGTAAGTAACCCATTTTCAGCAGAATCGATGGATGAATGAATTAACGAAGAAAAAGGAATTCCCGCAAAAATACGAGCTTTACTTTGAAAACCACAATAATTAACCATGGTTAAATCGACGCACGTTTACATTTCAGCACATGGCATACAACAGCAGTATCTAAAAATAATCGCGTGATCACGAGGCTGCTAGAGATTTATTTGTGCGTGAAAACATGATAAAACAAAATGACGGAAAACGGATATCCTTGAAGATGTTTGAAAACGAATTTAGAATTTTCACAACGACAACGGCGTGCATTTGTTCAGCAGTGTTTACAAGGAAAAGGATTTGCGATGATGCTCAACCGAATTATGTCAAATGAATGTGTAACTCCGGTGCGTTACTTGAGACAAGAGTCAACATAATCAAACATCAAATGCACACAAAAACACACGACTTGGTGTGAATGATTGTACAGCAAAGACAATCATTCACATGGATGTTCCTCTGCTTGCTCGCTCGCAATCTCCATCGTCATAAACCAACTCAAGCCGATTCATTTGAAATTCAACAAATTCCGTCAAAGTATAAACCATACTACCGTTTCGAATTTGCGTTGAATGCTTGCTTGCCTCAGTTTGAATTGTACTTTCGGCAATTTTACTAATATTTGGATGACTTTTCGAAAAGTTTTGAAAAAGTGTGCTTTGTGGTTGTTTGTGATAAACTCTCGTTCAACCACCAAATGAAACATGAGAAGTTTCTATGTGCGAATGGAGAAGCGCCTGCCGATCGGATAAAAACAATGGAGCAACGCTACCACTTGCGATGTGTCTGACTGAAGTCATTTGGTGTTTTCGTTGTCAATGGGGTTTTCAGTGGATCCAATTTTGGCATTTCGATATTTTGTATACATTTGTAGGCATTGTGTGTATATCATTTGGGTGAAAGGTAATAGTGGTTATGCACTTGGCAGGCATGTATGTAATAGGTGAGCCACCGACAAAATTGAATCATACAAATCAGAAATGGCAAAAGTTGCTCCGATTTCGTGAATGCTGCAAATTCTTTTTGTTCATCCATCGTGAATGATTTGCTTTCTGTTTTCGTGCGCTTTTGTTTCCTTGAGATATTTGCAGTTATTGTCTGTAGCAGGCGACGACTTGGAATCGGATTATTCTTGCCAGATACTCAACATTTGTTCAATATTTATCCTATTTTATATTCACTCACTCACATGCTTACTGACGCCATTCACCGTTTTATTTGACATTAACTATTTCGAGCTATTTCGAGAAAAGTTACGATATGCCGAGGCGGATTGTGAAAATTGAATGTGTGAGCGAGTGAGTGTGTCGCATGCGATACACCATGCATACGTATATATTTGTATGCTGCATCGTTTTTGTTATAGTTTGCACGTGGTATGTGCTTGCGAACCATAAAAATAAATTCTACGAATTGTAATGTGTTAATAGCAAGCGAGTGAATGAGTGAGCGCGATGCAATGCATGGTTTTGGTTTCGCATGTGTCACATGTGAGTTAGAAGTTCGTAAATATCCCATGCTCCAAATAATTGTACAAGTGTTCTGCGAATATTTAGTTACGAAAATGTACCGACGGTCTGTTGAATGTATAAAAGAAGAGAGAGAGAGAGAGAGAGAGAGAGATGGAGAAAGAAAGAAAGGCCCACAGAGTAACGTTTATGATGTCAAAGGAATCGAAGAAAACAATAACCATCGGTTGCAATTACAAAAAGGCAAAATCAACGCAGAAAATACAATTAGAACTTGCACATGATTTCTGTTCCGAGATGAAATTCATCCATATCATTAAGGCAAGGACTATGTACGCCAAAAACAGCATACAAAAAAAACAACACCAATGGATCGACCCTTGTTGCGCTTAAAACTCAGTTTGCTGCTGCTACTGTGTTATGCGGTGGTGTGTTGTGCACAGCTACTACAGCCGATGCCTGATGCCAAGGCGCGCATAGTTCATAAATATTTATGTCGATTTTTTTTGTATTTTTTCCAATCCATTCAATGCTAAACCAAGCTAAAAAGCTAAAAACACGAACACATCCCATCGTTTACACATTTCGTACAATCATGCACAGTAGCACATTCTCTCTGCCATATCTCGGATACTCTTGGTCGGCCGGTCGGTGCGTTATATCTACATGCTAATCGGTGCACATAGAAGCGCGCGGCGTACACATAATATTTCACCTAATCGTTTTGTGTGAAGCGTAAAAATTGTAGTAGAAAGTGAACGAGACAACGTTAGAAACGGATGAATGTGGGGAGAGAGAAAGCGAGAGTCGGTTGTAAGGCGCAAAACAGCAAAACCGATTTGGTAAAAAAGAAAAATATCAACAACATCCTATGAAAAATATTCACCCTGCTTTACGGCAATCTAAGCATATTGTTGTAATTTCAACCTTTTTAGTGCTGAACCGCAAATAATTATGCAACAACGTTTTCTTTTCGCTTGTCGTTTTCACTGATCCAGCGCGGCAGTGTATCCTCTCTTGCTTTGACTACCGCTTCAGCCTCGGTAAAATTGCTTGTTCCGTGCTCAAAGCCAGCCAAATCGTCGATACGAACAATGGGCCAAGCTCGACAAACAGGGCAACGAGGGATTGTTTATGTACCATTGTTATAGCAATTATATTGCTGCGAAAGGGAGTCAGGCTGCGTTGTTTGTATGTGATTCCTGCTCGGCGAATACTGCGTCGTTGCACGTTCGGAATGTTGATGAATATAATTTGTGTCATTCGCTTGATTCTTCATGACTTTTCATATTGTTTTGTTATGTCGTTTAATGTGCATATTATTTAATCATTGGTGACATGGAAACTCTCTGATCATTCTCTGTGCTATGTGTTTGTGTACGCTGAGCGTCCCTGTGCACGGTGCACATGTACATTTGAATCATATTCACCACACACACACACGCGCGTATATATACATAAAAAAGGGTGGTAAAAATGCGGTGCTGTTTTTATAGAGAAAACAATAAAAATGATGCGATGAAGACTTCCATGTGCTTTGTTAGTGATTTTTTCCAGTCGCTTTTTCTAAATCGTGTTCATTCCTTGCATCACTTTAATTCGCTTAAACAGCGGAAACTATTCAAAGTCGGTGCACTTGGTTGGCGAGAGAAGCGCATTAGTCATGTCTTAAAATTGATGATATTGAATTTTACGCTATTTAACCGTATAACAATATCTTTAGTGCACAATTTTATTGTGGTGCATTTGATACGTTCGATTTTCCAGTTTGTCAAATCATTTCGAAACACAGTTTGATCGGTGTGGCGTTTGTACTCCTGCTTGTACAATTATTTGCACCATTAGTTGTCGCCTCGGATTTTCTATCGTTACCGTACGCGATTCGAATCGAAATCAGCTTCATAACAAATGAATCAGTTCGAACCCTCCGAGTTTGAATCCACCTTTAATGAGTGTGTTACATAGAAAACAACAGCTTCGTTGCTGTTTTTCCGATCGGAATGATGGATTTATCTCAAGCCCTACTGACATTTTTATTGGTAAAACTAAAATGTCATGAAGTACATAGATTATCACCTGTCTGTCACCGTTGTCACGCATCTCGTCAACAATCGAATTTGGATTACAGTCAGCAAGCACCCTTTCAACTCTACGCTAAAGGCATGCAAAATGTTGGAATTTCACGTGTTTAAATGAATCGCTTTCTTTTGGTTTTACTTACTTTGTCCATTCTATAGTTTTGACTCTGTGTGTGTGTGTGTGTGTCTGTAATTTGTATATGTGTGATTGGGAATGGTGATTGTGACAAAAAAAAATCACCACCATCGCCGCTGATTCCATCCATCAAATGACAATTATTCTATTCAACAAATCGCATTCCATCGAACACGATGTACACAAACACTATCATCACACCGTTTTAATTGGGAGTTAAAATACAACACAATTCTTTTTATTTAATATTTATTAAATTATCATGATTTGGTAAATTGTCACATGATAAACACTTGTTTTTTTCTGTAAAAACACACTATTGATTTTACAAAAAAAAAATCTTCGTTATTTTTTTTTTTTGTTGGTGTATACAGGTTCAAAATTTACATTCCATCATTATCGTCCGGTTCGTTGGGTTGTCGATTATTGCATCGGAAATAGTAGTTTTGCATTGAGTACAAACGATCGATGGGATTTAAAACTTGCGGTGTATTGCCCAAAATGCGTTGAAATGTCGAATAGGCGAGTCCCATCACGGCATTGTCTTGAATGTCGTCGGTTCCGTTGAAATTTTCGGCTGTGAACGAAAAACAACAACAAATTCAAACAAAATGAAACTGTGAGCATACGATTTGATAGGGAAGTGAAGATGCCTGCATCGAAAAGTTTTATGTATTTAAAATTGGGCCACAAATGCATTAAGCACATCCGCGATGATTCGATCGAAAACATTCTGTTTTTTTTTTCCCCAAAAATTCTGTGATTATTGAGCGCATAAAAGAAATCAATGTCTAAGCGGAAAATAATTTGTCTCGTTTCGACCAAAAAAATTGAAAAATAATATGGCCCAAATCGTCGTTTGAATCTCATCTAATCGGTTCTTTATTTTTTCATAATGTGGCTTCACGTAGACGCCGCCGACACCGTCAAATATGCCAAATTTCGAATGGCAGTGATTCGAAAACGATGACTATTATTTGATGATTTGAAGCCCGTTATGGTTTGAAATCAAAGGCAAATATTCGACGGCATCGAAAGATATAAAGAACACTTGCGATCAGCCGCTATTTGGGAAATCGATTCTTAATGGCTGCCCACCAAAGGCTGTTGCTATGACCATTTCCCACCCTCCACCAAAAATGGGATACAAGTTAATTTGATGTTGTAGAAGTTGCCGTTTTTAGTCGGTAGTTTTATCGGTTCGTTTTTCGGTACCAATTATCACAAGATCACAAGTCAAGTAATTACCTGGAAAATGATGTGAATTTGCGCAGAGTTCAAATGATTTGATGCCATCTTCCGAATTTTCCTTCTCCTTTTTTATTGGAAACGTTTGATCAGCATCAAGATTGACGTTGCTATACGAATCGGAATCACCTTAAGATTTGAATATAAAAAAGTTATTCATCAAAATCTAAGCGAAATTGTCCAAACAACGTCTCACTTTCATGATTACTTTTTGCAGCATTTCCATTGCCGGCATTGTTTTCACCCTGTGAATCATTTTCAGTGTCGAGTTTACCGTCTTGTTTCCGTTTCTTCTGAATTTTTTTCACTTTGGCTCGCTGATTTTGGAACCAAACCTAACAATTGAAATTTTGTACTTTTATTTTGCATTTCCCTATGATATTCGCTGAAGTTCGTTTCCTTTTTTCAAGAATCGATTGCATACCTGGACAATGCGTAAACTCAATCCAGTTTCTCTGGCTAGATTTTCCCGTACCTTACGACATGGCTTGGGCGATACATCAAATGATGCTTTGAAAGCTCTTCGTTGTTGTGTATTCAAAATGGTTCGCGGTCGCTTTGGTCCACGTCGACCATCTATCTTCGATGTGTATACATCTTCTGAGAAATATTCATCTAGAATACGAAAATCGAGCTTGTGAGTGAGGTGAAAATATTTATTTCGCTTATGCAGTTGTTACCGTTGTAACCTTTTAGCATCTCCACTTCTTTCTCATAGTCGTTTCTGCAAAACAATTGGCTCTGCTTCACCTACAGATTTGCATTTTCGATATTTTATTAGTATTGTATCGACGCGTTACCGCTAACGGACCACTGCTATGGTAATAAAGTTTCACCATTATAATATCAATAGTGTTGGTAGGTTAATAACCTGTCAACCAAATTATTAGCAACAGTTTCTAACCTGGCAAAAAAAAATCTTAAGTTGTAAGATAATAAAAAAATTACGTTACTACTGCCGACATTATTATTATTGTCATTATACTTGGTTCAACTTTATAACTGTAGCAGTGGTTCGTTATCGGCAACAGATATTGTATTACTATAGTAGTAGAGTAGTAATCTGTAGCTTCACCACGTATTGTTCGCCTTTTTGTAATTGTGATCCGCATACGACGCATGTGAAACACTTTAAATGGAACACATTGCTCGCTGTTCGCATAACGAATTCCTCCGAATTGATTCGCTTATTGCATCCCAAACAGTTATTTTTTAAATAAATTCTGGAAAAAGCAAAGAATATGAGACGATTTTATTTCTCTTTTTTCCCTTTTTTTCTCTTTCTTCAATTTTTTTTTTATATCTTGAAACGAAACGGAACAAGGAAACGGGGCTCGAGAGAGGGATGAATTGCAGTAAAACAAAAGAAAGCCAGAAAAAAAAATCAAACTTCTTTTTGTTAATAAAGGTTGACTGGATCCATGGAAAACCAAACGGCAACTTTCTCTTCTCGTTTTGTGTCGTGCAAACAAACATTTCAAGTGTTACATTATCCATTCCTCAGAACCATCCGCTTTGATTGGATGTACGAAAAAAAAAGTCAAATCAAAAAAGAAAAAACGCACGCAACGGGCGGATAAAAACAAATTGACAATAAAAAAACAGAAAATAGCAAACGAAAGAATCGAAGAGAAAAACTGAACAGACGCTAACTCCGGCATTGTCATGCAAAAGAGCGGAGGAGAGTATACGAAAAGCGTGAAAAAGATAAAAGAAAAGAAAAACTTTTCGAAATAAGTCGTTCAAATCGAAAATTAGCAATTGAACCTTAAGTTATGTATTCTCTTCGATCGATTTAACGTTTTTGGCTTTTGTGCTTTCTTCTGTTTTTGTTTCTTTCCCTCTTGTGTTTTGGCTCGAACAGCCATTGTGATACATTCCATTGACAGCGTGCGCAATACGTGAAAAATTGTTTCCCTCTTTCTTGTTGTCGCTTTTTTTTACAAATATTTACTGTTCGCTAACATTCACTGTGTGTATCATGCACAAAGTGTGCTGCTTTACTTTTATGTTACTTTTTTTGTCTGTTCATTCGCTTGTTGGCTGGCTCTTCAGATATTCTCCCGTATTATCAATGCGGAGAACGTGGTTGGAAAATATGTTCAGTGCCATTCATGATTCGTGCGTCGTTGCTCGTTGACTGCCAACGAATCGAACATATTTGTCTATTTTCGCTCGGATATTAATTTATGGGCATTTGCGTGCGTACGAGTGCTTCACTTGTCGACCGTTTTTTTTTCTGCTCTCTCTCCAATATTCATCACTTCATGGATACAACGAAAATGTAATGGAGAAAGAACGCTTTTGTTTGTTTCATTCAATCTTATTAAGGACGGGGTTTAGCCGTTTGGGCTGGGTAAAATCTGCACATTTTTCGGAGCATCCCCAGAACTAGTGAGACTTTAGAAACGCCCTGAGCCATCAATATTTATTGAACATGAATGTATCCGAAGCCAAAATGCTTTTTTTTTCACTTTAACCTACAGTCTACCTTGCGCTATAGTCACCGAAATATCAATAGGAATTTCGAGCAAAATTTATGCTGAAGTTTTGAAAAAATCTCGAATGAGAGTCGTAAGCTAAGAATGAAGTAGATAGAGGTTTCAATTTTCGGCCACTGATTTTCCTAAATTTCTCACCCCTGCTCCGCCGAATAAAAAAAATGTATGCAAGCCATGAAAGACGAAATATTTGATCTGGTATTTTTATATGTAATACCATGGCACTGTATTTAATAGGAACCATTTTGCTATTGGGCAATGCCTCAGCGCCTCAATGAGGCGTACAGTTCTCAAATATACATATTGTATTTCGAAATGAGATTCTTGTTTGAAAATAGCAAAACGATGAATCGGCACACAGCCAAGGAAAAAAAAACACACATAGAGCCAAACATCAAGAGATAGAGTGAGTGAGAGAGGAAAAAATGCGACGCTTTTGTGTAGTGTGTAAACTGTAAAGCATGAACAATGGTAAAACTGGAAAAAGAGATTGATATGCTCGTGGAGGATGATGTGCAGCCATAACAGACAGAATCAGCAACAATTTTTTTTTCTCTCTACTGCTACTGTATTTTGTGAGTGGATCGTTTGTTCCTCCGTTCATTCGTTTATTCGCTTGTCTATTTCTCGCTGTGCTGTCGTGACCGTTTTGGCTTTTTCCCTTTTTTGTGTGTCTGTTCGCTGTTGCCTCTGCCTTGCGTGGCACATAGTTTAGGGGGTGGTCTGTGTACGCTCTGCATAGTTTGGCCATATTTTAATATATCGAATTACGCAAGAACGATCGATGGAAATAACGTAAAATAGAATGAGATGTACGATGTAAACAAGTGTAACATATTGTTCTTTGAAGTATTTGTATTATTCAATATTTATGGAGTTGTTTTTTTCACTTTCTCTCTCTCTCCCTGTGTGTGTGTGTGTGTGTATTGTATGCGTGCATTTTTTCCAGTCGAAATTGCTTTGCTTGATGATTTTTCCCGTTTGGTCTGATGCCTTCAAAGGCCTTCAAGTGTTTTCAGCCATGCCAACTTTCATGCGAATTATTTGCGAAGCATCGTCAAAAGCGCAAAACTTCAAGCACATTTTCGAAAAGAGAATAAAAAAAATATTTTGCATTCTTTTATTTCATTGTTGATGTTTTGAACATCAAAATACATTTCAGCTTCGCGATCTGAAAAAAGAAACACACACAGGAATATTGGTAGAGAAGAAAAACGTAAATTCCGTTTAAAAGAAGACAATAAACTTGAGCTCATTGTTGTTTCTTTTAAATACGATGGTTTTCGTTTTCTTCTTCTATCAATAATAATAAGATGGAATAAATTCCCGTTTCTTCTCGACTTTTGAATCAATGACACGAAGGTGTTAGAAAATGCGGTTTCGAATTTGTTTAATGAATTCTTTTTTTTTTTTTTTTGGTGACAGATAAAATATTGTTACCCTTTTGAATGATTTTTGAGCATTTGAAAGGACCGCATTCATTCGATGCATTCAAGTATGAATGATTCAAATATGGCCATTAATTTAAGCATGACATATTTTATGTGTTCGAAATAACACGTGTTCTTGATGCTCTCTCCGAGCTTTCAATATGATTTTACGGATCATAAGAACAAACCACGTGTGAAGCGAAATCGATGTGAGCAGGCAGAAGGCAGAAGGAAGAAAAAGAGAGAGAGCGAGACGGAACGAGAGAAAATGAACGTGGCAAAAACACTTTTTCATCATCGACGATGGATATATGGGGTGTAACACGGCTAAATTGTATAATTTATCAATGAGCCTAGCACTGTATGTCGTCGTGACAATTTATTCGTTTAAAATTAGCCAAACCCGGTAGTAAGTCAATGGAACCATCTAACACAACTTGTCACTGCCAAACATTTCCCTCTTTTAATAGGAAATTGATTCAATTTTGGTCACGGCTTTTCTACCCAACGAGCCGTACTCTTCATATTCATTTTGATTAGATTGCTTAATTTTACAAAATGAGAAATTGGAACAAAAGAATTGAGAGAAAATACGGTAAAAAAAACGTGAAAATTAGTTTTACACATGAATTGTAACAAACAAAAAAATAGAACGAAAATTAATGCAAATGTAAAATTACAATTGTTTTACTAGAACAAAAGAAATTTGCGCAATTTCATCGCTATTTCATAAAATTAAGAATTTCAAGAGAAGCAAATTGATTTGTTGGCCACGAATGTGAGATATTAATTCAATTATCCACAAATGGTACTTGAACAACACTTGAATCTCGAGAAGAGAGCAATTAAATATACATTTGCACGGTGTGTGTGTGTGTGTGTGTGTGTGTACTCGAAGAGCAGCAAATGTACAGCGTTTTATTGAATGCAAAAAGCAGATTACAGACGCGTTTCATTTGCATGTCAACGCGTTTCAGAAATCGCGATGACCAATTACGCTACTCTGCCACTACACACCGGCGGACACACTTGAACATAGACACAATATCTTACCTTTCGTAATCAATGCGACAGTAGATTTTCCCATTGCGAGAGAAACATGAGTGCATCAGTCGTTTGGAGCACGAGCAGCACTGTAGACAGCGTTCATGATAATACGTATCAACGACTCGCATTATATACTGATCGTATATCGGTTGAAAGCACAAGCCACATAATGTTGCTTCGGGTGCCAATGCAGTTTTACCATTATTATACGTACTAATGTTGCTGCTGTTGCTACATGATGTTAAAGTTGTTGTGGTCAATGATGATATTTCTGGTATTGTTGGTGAAACCGAATCGACGGAAATAGCTGGTTTAACATCCATCGCAACTGAAAATGAACAACAAAATTTTGCGCCTGCATTAAAACCATTCACTTTCACACGGTCAATAAATTTTCACATGCACGGAAAAACACTTTTACATTGAACATGCCCGTATTTGATTAGAAATATTATATGCCATTTACAAATATACAAATAAAATTAATAATTATTCAAATGATGTTTTGCATCGATACATATAGCAAAGAGAGGACTTAAAAATCAACGCTTGATTGAGAAAAGCCGACGGAATCTTATGATGAACAAAAGAGCGATTTATAAGTATATTTTTTATAATAAAAATATATTTTGATTAAATTGAACAAATTATACAGGCAAAAAGGATGCCCTATAACGTAAGTGAGTATTTATAATAAATTATTTTTCCTGTACAAACAAAGAAAAGGAACAAACAAAAATCCACTCTGAGTGGTTTTGAGTTTTTTTCATCCAAAAAAATTTAATGTCAAAATTGAAAATGAAGTGGATTGCATCAGGAAGAACTTGTCTGATGTGTTTGCTTACATTTCAAAAAGTCATTTGTGTTTGACATCATGCAAATGTAATTAGCATATTCCAATACTGTTATGATGTATACATTTTATGCGGTGCACATTGTCAACATTTGTATCAAATGTGCAACCCCTGTGCGTTGACACCACATGCTCATTTTGTAATTTGTTTATCGAATTCAAAATGAGCCAAGACAAACAAAGAGTGTATTATTGACATAATCAGATTAATGTAGACAATGGCACAAACTGAAAGCAGCAGCAACAACAACAACAACAACAACAACAACAATAACAAAACATAGGTGGGTGAATAATCGCTCAGTATGAATGCACCTCGCAAACATTTGGTTTCATTCGACATAATCACTGCTGTGCCATTGTTGCAAACAAAATGGTCATTTTTGCGAATTTTTTTTCATTTCTAGTTTGATTAAATCACAGAATGAATGGCAAATCAAAAGTAGATTCAGACACTCGGATAATTACAATTTTCGATAACTTACACATTGGATAAAGCGTCTTTTGCTCTATCATAATTCTAAATCTTCGCAAATCGCTGAAATCAATTTGAATTCATCGACGATGAAATTAACATAGACAAAATAACGCACTTTATCACACTAGTTGCCAGTTGAATCAATAGATAAAAACAAATGTTCACGTTACTCGTTTTTCTCTTTCTTTCTCTAATTTGATGATAAATGTTACAACTAAAATTGCGCACACTGTTTTAGGAGAGCGATTTTTCAAAAGCAGCTATTGCCGATTTGATTTGCACTGTGTCGATTTATTTTTAATGGAATTAACAAATTTTTATTCTTTTTGAAACGTGACAAAGCAGTCTTTGTCTCACACCAAACATAAAAACACTGAAAAAAAATTATGATAAACAAATGGAATTTCCTTTTAGCGAGAGAGAAAAAAAAAATATCTCGAACAAGCGAACGTTGTAGCGGCGGTTAATTCGGAAAAAGGAGCGCGTTCAGTTCGATGTATACATTAATCGCTGAAAACATGTTTCGGTTTGATGTTTTATTTACTTATTTATTTATTTTTTAGCCTCTGATTTTGCAATGATGCCCGTGTTCTCTCATCCGTGAAATATTCCAATGGGGGCACACTGTGCCATGATGTTTGGCTGTATGCGAATGCGCTTTCTCCACACTCCCACACGCATACACGTCCATCGTCTATGTAATTCGTTCAACTCATATGCGACGTGTTTTACATGGAATCAAGTGGATTTTTCGGTACGCATATCACAAAAAGCACATGATATAAGCGCCAACGCAATGGACTCCAAAAGAGAACATACCATCAAAATGGCATTCGACCACTTCGCATATGATTTTTGGTTATTTTCGGTTTTTGTCTTTTTTACAAGTTCAGGCGACTAATTTTCCGATTCAATAATGCTCTTGTGCGAAACATTGGGCTACTTGATTCTGAAAATGAATTCCAAACGACTAGAATGATAAAACTAATCTCGATTAGTGAAAATCGAAATTGCCAAATACACTCGAATACAATAGAAATGTCCAAATAGCCGCCCGAAACCAGAAACAACCAATTCACATGATCAGAATGTAAAAAGTATGATTCAAGTATCAGCATCATTCATTGTGTTCTATTTTCCAATTGTTGTTTCGCATCCTGTTCAATGTGAAAAATAATTTTCATGCTGAATTAAATTTGAAAATACCTTGTTTTGTTTATGAGACACTTGATCGGCAATTATGGGCCAAAAACAATGCGTAAATAAATGCTTATTTGGGTCTATTCAAAACAGGTGACTTTTCAAAGCTGTTGAATTAATGTCAATGTTGTTGATGACACTTTGTTATGGAGACATGAGATTGGATGAGAGAGTCGGACAGAGAGAGAGAAAGAGAAAGAGAGAGAGAGAGAGAGAGAGAGAGAGAGAGAGAGAAGGAGAGAGTGAAAGAGAAAGAGATCATTTTGAAAATTTTTATCGAGATGTAAATAAAAATGTACGAGAAGTTGGATTTCATCTCGTTTGTATCCGAGGTAACTCGATTCGAAGTAAATAAAAATTGTAAGCTGGGGAAATGTTGATGCTCATTCATGAAAAGGTTGTATATTGAGTTGGTCACGCCTTTTTGCAACGACACCGCCCCTTTGCCAGCATTTCATGCTCTTCGCATATACGTGCTATGTGTTGACGATTCTGTTTGAACGAGAATATTTTCTTTTTCTTCATTTCGCACTGTCTGTGCATCGTTAAATGGAACCATTGAAAGCAGTCGATGGATCCCTAGCGTTTGACTGACTTTTTTTCTTCTCTTGACTACTATTTCCATGAGCATCGCATCAAAATCGGCATTATTCAATGGATGGGGCATTTTATTGAGCTCGACGTTTCCAAGTCAATGTGACGGAATTGTGAAATGAAAAGGAAAAGATTCTGCTATTGGTACCACTTAGTGATACTAATATGTGCTCGCTTATTCGCTTCATATGTCTTTGGATGTGAGCTTGTGTCAATAAATGAACTTTAAGATCGATGCCAGCCTTTAATGCACGGTTCCAGGTTTGCTGTGGTTCAAAGGAATATTGGTTATCAAACAAATAAATACGAATAATCCATTTGTTTTTCTATTCAAATTTCATTTTATTTGTACGAACAGGCTATTACAATGTTTTAACTGTTTCCATGTAAAACTAAATAATCTGCACGATTGTTTTGGATTTTGTTATCTCCTGCATAAATATTGCAAATGAAGAATAGTACTAACGTTACTTTAGTTAATTTCTCGTTTTTATTTTCCAATAATTTCATAATACATAATATGATTTTTGTGATTTTTTTCCTCTTTTGTTTTCGTTTAGACCGATATGCGAAACGCATTCACTGTGTGAGAACACAGATGAATAGTATAATAAACCCATAAAGAAATTGGCCATTTATTAGGCGTCAAATTTTACACATCATTACAAAACATAGACTATTTCTTTTGTTTTCAATTGTAAGATCGCGCATTTGTATTGTTTCTTAGTTTGCTGTCTTACATTTAAGGCATTTTCATCAAATGACACATTTTCGTTTCCATTCGATGGTTGTAAATATATTTTTATGTATATGCATATGTATATATGTGTAAACATGCAGTCGCATGTCGATTTGTTTACAAACTGGGCAATTTTTTTCTATATATATACATTAAAATCCAGTCCACTATGTACAGTATTTATTTCTTGTTTGCACCTCACCAAACATATTTCAAGTGTATTTGAAAAAAGTAAAAAAAATATATATATATTCATGTATATGTGTATGTGTATGTGTATGCGCTATAAGCGAAAATATGTGCGATGGTAACCGTCAATCGCACCTGTAGTTGATCTGTTGTGTTGAATAAGGGAGAGAGGGATTGGATGAGAAAAATAACAAGAACATAGTCTCAACTACTCCGGCTGTACATCGACGACCAATGCGATACGGTCGGGCGCTTAGCGATTGAGTTACATGTGTTTTGATCGAATCGATTTTGGTGTTTCGTAAGCAAAGTGCTTGTGTGCATGTTAACGGGGACCTTAATCACTGCAATTGAAGCCAAATGCATAATCTCGTTTCGTATTTGTCACTGTTTTGTTTTCATTTTATTTTGCTCGGCCATAAATACGTATAGTGTTTCGGACTTACGACTAAATATCTCAACATTTCAACCACTGGACATACGTATATTCAATTAATCCATGGCTGATGCTGAGATAAGCGTATGTCAAGTGGTTTCGTTTCAACTAACATTTTCAATGCCGATATTTGCATCTTCTATACTGTCTAAATCTAAGGCGGTATCGATCATTGTTGTATCGTGTAAAGAACGAAGATATGAACCATTACCATTCTCACCGTCAACCGTTATCAATTCACCGAGCGGTACTGCGGTGGTGTCGTTGAAAAGCTTCTTCGAAGAGCGCGATTCATCGCCGACGCCCATTGACTGTTTCGATTTTTTCGTCGTCGAACTAAATTTACTATTGCTCAGACCGATCGAATCGTTGTTGGTTTTCAATACTTTTGACATTGTACTGGTGTTTGGAGTGTTTGCTATTGAGCTGCTGACCAGTGTTGGATCATCAAGATCAAGATCCAAGTCACCGAGCATTTTCGTTGATTTAATTGATTGACTGATTATCGATTCAATGTTGCTTAAATTGAGCGCATTGTCGTTCGTTGATTTGTCCTTTATCGGTGGGAGCGTTGATGTGTCCACAGCCAATACATCAGCAGCTTTAGCCACTGCAGTTGCTGTCGCTGTCGCTGTGGTTGTTGATATTAGTACCGGTTCATTGACATTGATCGCCGTATTACTAACATTCGAATAAACGTGCAAATTGGGATCGGTGCTCGCCAATATATTGTCAACTATATTGTTCGTTGCCGTGATTGCGATTTTTGTTGTTGTTGTTGGTGTCATTGTGTCGATGGCCGGTTTGCCATTTGTTTGCATTGCTGGCGATATATTGCAATAAACATTCTCTAAGATCTGGTTGGTGGTTTGTACGTTTGCCGGATCATTTTGATCAAATGTTTGAACTGTATCGTCGTCTAAATTATCACAAAATAGATTATTGTAACTGCCTTTCATATTATTGAATGGTGTTAAATTCCCTAAAGCATCGGTATCCATATTTGGTAACATATCGTCGTTTATCGTCACCGACTGCATCGATGTTGGATTCTCATTCTCCACCAAATTGGCCACACTATTCGAGTTACCTATTTAAATTGTGCACACACGCAACAATCACAATAAAAGCAATGGGAAAAAGGAAGAAAAAAACAAAAGTTAGTCGAAACTAATATTCATTTCAGCAAAATGTGATGTGAATTTGTAAAGAAAAAAGAAATTATTCGTATTGTTTTATCGCTATCTTCAAACCGAAAGCATTTGTCACATGCTTGTCTCTAGTGATTTGAGTTAAATAAAGTAGAATTGTTCAGCGAAAAATATAGCAAACAAAATGCAAATCATAATATTCATTCTATGAATTTGATTCAAAGCTAAAATGGTTGTTTTTTTTTTCAAAATCACAGCTGTTTTAAATGCGATTAATTAACGATTGCGTCTGGCTAAAGATGTTATGTTAGTTCTTTGTACATTCCGTGGTTTTTTGCTTATCTTGACTAATTATGGTGATTTTTAAACACTATATTTGTATTCATATTAAAAGCAGAAGCAATTAGCGTATTTCAAAAATGGTTCCCTCGCATCTTTTTACGTTCTTTGGTAATGTGTGTCGGAAAGCCAAAGTGAAGCATAAGAAGGGAAGAGTAGTCATTGGATCGTGATTGCTGTTGGTTTCACTTGCTGCAGCAAAGGAAAAGTGAACAGAACAACTCGATGCCATCTACGGTGAAATGAGTGCGGATCGATTGGCATTCGACGTAAATTGCAATAGAAAATCAAAAATAAAATTCTTGAAAGAAAAAACAAAACACAACAAAATTAATATGGATGTGTGTGTATTCGACAGAAATCCAACTTGTTTGAGCTTTGAATGAAATTCGAACGATTTTTTCTTTGGAGATTCTTTGGAATCGAAACTTTTTGAAAACAACAACATTTCCGTTTCTTGTCTGCGAAAAATTTGCATTCTAATTTCTTTCAAAGAATTGTCCAATTTCGATCGAATCCATTCCCAGAACTCACTCATTGAAAATCACGTCAACTGAATATTGTGTATGGAGTGTAGAAGCACATTTAAAAAAAATAATAATTTATTTTTATAACATAATAAAAACGTTCAATTGAATGGAATTGCGGTTGGCAACATTCGAAATCTAATCTTGATTACAAAATTTATGTGGAACATTTTGAATGTGTTCGACTCACCCGATAAAATGATTTTCATTTTGATTTGGATAAATTCGACATGAATCTTGGATGGAGAGTTAAAATGTGAATCTCCGAAGAAATTGTTTGATTTGGTTTAATTTTTTTTTTTAGGAAGGAACGGTGAACGTGTTGCACCAAGGAGAACAGATAGCGACAACAACAGGAAACAAAGAAAGGTATAGAAGAACAAGAAGAAGAAGAAAAATAAGAAAATTTAAAAAATCAACAACATGTAACATTCAATTCGAGATACAAAATCATCTAGAGTAGTGTGAGCGCGTGTGAGTAGGAGACTTAACATTTGCTACGATTTAAGGCCAATCATATTTTTGTGTTTTTGTTTTTGCAAGTAGCAAACCTTAAAATCTATTTATAATCTAGTGATAGCTAATTAGAAATCGCCCCCCAAGCCATCATTCAAATGAAATGAACCAAAATGTCGAGAGCGCGATTTTGATGAAAATTATCCAAGGGGAGAGGAGGATTAGCAGCTCAATTGTCTCCATGGACATATCCAAAATGGCTATGGAATTATGAACTCTTAGCCGTGGTGCGTAATGGCATTGCGTGTATACAATGTACAAGTACATGTGTGATGATAAACAGAGGTGGTTGCAAATTATTGTTCATTAAGTTCGCCAACTGCGATTCGTGAGTTTAAAAACAAAATAAGACTATTAGTTTTGTGATTGTGTGTGTGTAGGTGTTTGTGTACGAACATTCGTTCGGGTGTCAACAGAAACAAAATCTAAAACAAAGTTACAAACCAAAATTCAAATTCAAATCAAATAATTTATATATGTAGAGAGAGAGAGAGAGAGAGAGAGAGAGCAAACCTTGCAAAAGGACCGTGTATGTATTGAGTTAATAAATTCAATATATCAAGCGTGTTGATTGGTTCAAATCAATCAAAAACGGAAAAAAAATTAAACGAAAAAAGAAATCAAGTCAAAAATAGAACAAACCGAAAGGAAAAGAAGATTATTTTCTCAAGATCAAAAAAAGAACAAAATAAAAAAAAAAACGGATTTGTTGAATGGTGAAGCAAACTGTGATTAAAGTATTAGAAAATGCTCGTTAGTTGTTTGTTTGCGGTAGATACCAACCCTCTTGATTATGTACGGAATCACATTGATGATATATTTAATTTTTGTTTGGTTTCTTTGGTTTTTGTTTTAGAAGAAAGCATTTTGAAATTGCGCGTTTGTTTGTGTCATTGTACATTCACTATTTGCTATTAGATTTTAGTTTTTAATATTTGCTTGAAATTGAGTCGATTTCATTTTTGGTTTGGGTTTTTGGATTTAGTAAACAGAGATGTTTTTTAGCTGTGTTCCTAAATCAAGAAAAATATATTAATAAAAAAAAATAATGATTGCAATCGATTAATCTCATTCTAATTTTTTTTTTTTTTGTTCAAAATAATTGTTGAGAAATAGTTAGAGAGATAGAGAGTTTGAGCATTAGGTGCTATCATTGTAACCAGTCTTCCCGAGTGAGTTTTGTTTTTTTTTCTGTTTGGTTTTTTGGTTTTGTCAATTCCGACCACTTGAGATCAATTGGTGTGTGAGTGTATGTGTGGTTTTTTGTTGTTGTCCAAATTTACTGTACGGCTCCACAAACTAATAGCCGACATTGAGGTGCATTGCTTGAAGTTAAACACATACAAATAGTTTCAAATTGAATTGGATGGAATGCATATTTGATTCTATCTACAATTGCTTGGTTTCAACGTTTTCTTTTTTTGAATTTATCAAATCATGAGATCAAGACGTGTGCGTTATTGTTCTAAGTTTTTTTTTTTTTTTGTTTCAAGTTGCATTTGCGTCCACAAATTCTTTACTATGCTTGGGGCATTCATTACTCTGTGAAAGACTTTGATTGTGATTGAATTTGGTTGTGGTTTCATCGGTGCTATACACGTAGTCCGTGTAGGCTTGTTTCATTTCGCACTTTTTCTGTGGTATATAAACACGATACTGTGTTGGAATCAAAGTTGGTTTGATTTTTATGTGTGACGGTGTCAAATGGGATGGTGACGATAGTGAAGCCAATGACGACGATGACGAGGTCGATGTCGATGTCGCTGATGATGATGACATTGGCTGTCGTTCATTAGTTGAGTCGATAAAACTCAACCGTTCATCAAGATCGACGGTTCGTTCATCCGTTGGACTGAAAATGCGATTTAAATTTGTGACTTTCATCGGTTGTTTGCGCATTTTACGCACTCGTCCATCGTTCATTTCATCATGTATCTTCGACAATTGTGGCGATTTTGCCAAAACACACCTTCTATCAAGTGTACGCTGCAAACTCAACTTACCCGTTTTCAAGTTGTCATAGCTTCGTTGTCGATATTTACCGGGCTTATTGCTACTGATTAAATTATTATCAATCTAAATGGAAGATGTGAGGAGGGGAGAAAAGAAACGAACAATGATGAATTATTTCGATTTCATTTCGGTTGTCATCGAATACTCTTGGTTTGAACTTACTTCGTTGTCGTAATATTTTGATTTTTGAATATTTGTGTTATTGCTCAATGGTTGCAAAACAATTGACTGCTGGCCGCCAAACCGATTGATATCCGTTGGTTGCATGTCGACCATGTATTCTTCAGTTACTTCTCCACGTCTGAAAATCAATCAATTTTTGTTTTAAATTCAATTAATCCGTTTCCATGAATACGATATTGTGTGATATTGTTTGATATGTTGTGGCGTTGGCCTTTTACCCTACCGATCGATTAACGATGGTGCCATCGGTCCACAGAGAATGAAACAGCAGTTTGTACATAAATTCCCATGTGAATATGGATTTTTTATCTGTTGTGCTCCTTTGGAAAATGACCCTTTAATCTAAAATAACAAACGAAACATCCAATGAATCCATTGCGACTGTAATTTTTGAGGTGAACGGCTGATTTGAGGTTGTGCTTACGTCTTCGTTGGTGGTTTGGTCACTTGTTGTTAAATAAGTATGAAAACCAGCTAATCCTATCACAGACCATATTGAAAAGAAGCAAATCAGTGTTACAATCACACTAAACGGTGCTTTTTTAACTATTTCGATGAATTCATCGTCTCCTTCTTTCCCTACTGCAAGTTTCCGTTTTTTTCCGATTGTTTTCGCGGAAGACAAAGAAGAAGAACAAAAATAGTAGCAATTGATATTAATGAAATTGTTAAAGAAATTGAATTCTAGACTAAGAAAATTGATGCGTGACTTACATAAAACTAAATGCGTAACTGAACACGAAAATATAAACACGGCTAAAAATGCTAGAGATACGATGAACATATAAAAAAATCGATAGTTTCTCTTTCCAACGCAATTGCCCACCTGGAAAATATGGGGATAGACAAATGAAATGATTAAATATTTATATATTGGCTGGAGAAGAGGATCATTATTATTATACATACCCACTATGAGGACAGTGTGATGATCCGAAAATATACCCAAGGACAATGGAAATGAACAAAAAAAATGATAAAATATTTATTTATAGGTTCTTCGAGACGATAGTTATTAAATTGTTTATACATACCGGACAGTGATGATCGAAGCGATCGACACAGTTATCGCATAGACTGCAGTGTGATGCTCTCGGTGGGCGAAAGATTTTACAGGTGAAACAATACTTCAGTTTAACAGTCTGACCTTTAACTAGAATTTCTTTTGTACGTGGTGGTGGCCGATAGGTTGGACTATTCAATGAATTTGGCACTTCTACAAAACAAATGGGCAACAACAACCATAAAAGAGACCACTTAGAAATGCACTGGATTTATCGTCATAGATTTTTATTTTGGCAACGTTGCCAACAACAAGTTCACGGTCAAAGAAATTACCAATTTGTTTTTCGATGTAGGCGGCTTCATCTTGTAGCGCTCGTGGAATAACCCCGGGATCGGTGAATGTCGTTCGTAGCAATGAGCTCATTGTGAAGACATACAAAATGGCTCCAACGATTGGTATGGCAGAGGTAATTTGTGTTGTAAGGTACGGACAACTGCAATGCAAAACAGAAACAAACAGAAAGAAAACCAAACATCATTAGATTAGTCATTTTTGATTGTGTTGAATCATATTATTATCATGTGGTTGCGACAAAGCGTTTGCTACTCACTCAAATGCAAAGAACAATGCACTGGTTCCAGTGATGAGGAAAACGGTTAAATAGAAGATTCCTGTATTCGGTGCTGACATTAAATAACCATCGCAGTAAAATTTGTTTCGGCCGGCAAAGACTTCCCATTTTCGAGTCATTCTGGTGTTTGGCGCCATTCTCCAACAGCAGCAATAGTACAGCAATCTCATTTAACTAAATAACCGTATGGATCGCGCACGCTCAAACAAAATATTGACAGGAGGCAACACATCGAATTTCAAATCTTTCAATTCAACAAAAACAAATACCACGCAACGACTTCGTAACGCAAACCGTATAAATTACTCGCTAGCGACACTCTTACTCACTCACTCGTTCGCTCGCTCGTTCACAAAAACTCTCTATTGGTTTTCGATTTTGTTCTCTTTTTATTCGTTTTTCTCCGCTATTTTTCTCCTTATTTTGCTGTTGTTGCTTGCTCTTTCGTTCTGCACGATGAGGTGCTAAAATTACATGCACGCAATAAAATTTGTGACTTTCTGTCTAATTGCTATCATTCCAAAACAATTTGTATGGCTTTTTAATTCTGCTCTGTAGCACGATGTTGCTATTGCTTCTCGTAATGCGGTGGTATGTGTGATACTGTGTGTGCGAGCTGTTAATTTTGATCAATTCGATTGCGGAAACTGCTCATCTTTGTACAAATGAAAATAATCGATCGTTGTTGTCACCATTATCTTACTATCAAGTGCATGACGCTCTGAAATCGAACAAAAAAAAAAAAGACAGACGAACCAAAAATGAACGACAATAAAGTTTTTTTGCACAATCATCACCAACACTACTCCTCACTTAATAAAATTTGGATGTATTTTTTTTATTTTCATTTTATTCGCTTTGTTGGAATTTCATTTGCCTTATTCTCCATCAAGAGCCTAATGCCGCTTCATTTTGTATGATATTATCAACGTACGAGCAATTTTTACAATTACAACCAACAAATCCAACATTCTTTCTTCGTTATTATGGGCCATATGAATCATGCAAACGCATATGAATGAAAATATCACAAATTTTTACTCAGAAAGGATTCGACAAATACATTTATTTACCAGAACCCACGTCTATATTGAAACGTAAACACAGTGCCTTCGATCCATTTTTTTCTCTTCTTCTTTTGTTTATTTGCAATGAACGAAAAATGCAAATTCGAAAATGTGACATGAAATTGACGCAGAAAAACAGAAGCAGAAGAAGAAGGCAAAAAATGCTTGCCTTTTGCGGCCTAAATAGCGTTGACAAATGTGGTAAATCGATTTCACTTGCTTATTTGAATTCTTTTTTTTTCTGATTATTTATTTCGTACTTATGACACGATAGAACACATATCCAAACTACAACATCAAACTGCATTTGAAGATTGTGTTTCATCGATGCAAATATTCAAACTGAACCAAGTACACCACCATTTACTCACAAACTCTAATTGTTTTCGCTTCTTATATTACCTTTGTACAAAAACGATGGAACTACTTGTGTTTTTGTGTTATATATTTGTATGATTTTTAATTAAATACTGAAGGTGCTTTCGAATTTCATCACATACACACACAGTGTATAGGTTTTTTTTATATTCTGTGTGGAAAATAATGAATGAATATACGTCAATTCATCATGAGTAAGTGTTTGACAGTAGCAAGTATTGCCAGCGGTAAGTCGCAGTCACCGTTTGAATGTTTCGTTTTGGTTGACAAATGGAGAAACCAATTTCTATGATCTATAACAGTGTGGTGACGAATTCACCGTGAAAACATTGTCGCTTTCTTACCAACTATCGCATTTGTTGTTACGCAATTATTGATTTAATCAAAACCTTTCGTGATCAAATGTACTTTTTGGTTGACCTTACACGAAATGACCACCGTAAAACCCATTTTCGTTTGTCGAACAAGACCAATGTGAACTAGACCTTATTTTATTTCAATACTTGTACTATTCTCATTCAAAATGCACCGTAAAATTATTACGGTTCACCGATTTAAAAAAAAAAAACGATTTCTTGTTTGAATTTTGATTCAATAAATTCGAAATCATAGTTTGAAATAAAAAAAAATAAAGACAACAAACAATATTGCTTTGGATTATTCTTTATTTTTTAATTCTTCTTTTTCTTCTTTTGCATGGACATTCACAGCAACGAAAATTCCAATGTGTTCCATTCAATGAAAATATGAATGTAATTGTTAACATTTAAGGCAAACGTTTCTTTTTATAGTTGTCACATCAACTGTCCTCTGTCATTCTCTTTAAGCCATCATTAAAATATATACAATACATATTGCATCTCTTTCTCTTGCTACTCACTCTTTGTCTTTCTCAGCAATCTCTGAATAGCAAAATTCAATTTACAGAAAATAAAATCGTTGGCAAAATACGAACAACGATCATGATTTTACAACTCACTAGAAATGTATTGTTTTGTTTTGTTTTCTCTTTTGGTAAAGGTTCTCTTTAGCGCGTCGGTCATGATATATAATATATATATATATATTCCATTTTCTTCATAATTTTTAGTTATTAAAATGATTAAAATCCTATTTCAAATTAAAATAAATAAAACCGCTACTGAATGCAACAAGCATTTGAAGTTTCTGAAGTTTTTTTGGTCAGTCTTCGTTTCATTCCTTCAATATACACATCACGGTTGAACAAGCCAGCGGCCAAGGGTATTCTGTGTTTGAGAAACAAGAACGTTAATATGTGTGACACACAGCGAAGCAAGGGGTAATGGAGACTTACGAATCAATGCCCGGTTTGATGGATGTTTTAAATAATGCCCATACCGGTTTGTGATCGGATGACACAATACTCGGCACCGAATCATACGCGATACACTCAACGATGGCACTGTGCAGAAAACTCGTCAAATTGCTTTCGCGCCGCAGTCCAAACGGGTTCGATTTGTATTTGAACAGGATTCGATCGGTGTAAGCGGGTGCTCTTTGTTTGCTGGATGTGTCAAATTTTTGTGTGCCTGGATCATATTTATACGTTGGTGGAAATGTAATGTTTGCCTCTTTAAAATCTTTGAACGCAGCACCGTTGGCCAGCACCGATTTCAATTGATCGGTATGCATGTAACCGTGCGGTAAATGTGATGGCAATGGAAATTGTGTCGTTTCAATCCATTTGAGCAATTTTTCGCGCGGTTCACCCAATCGAAAATTCAAATCACCACACCAAAATACCGCATCAAAATTCTGCGTAACGTCTTTGTTTTTACTGCGAAGGTGTAAATTTTTTGGCAAGTCTAACGCATGAATTATCCGCTTGACATCGCTCACACGCTCTTTCACCTTTTGCTGATGCGCTGTTAAATGTGACGTGACAAACAGCATGGATGTGCCAAATAGACAGAATGATATTGCAACGGCACCTTTTGTACGGAATGCTGTGCCCGGTCGAACCGATAAACAATCATCTTCGGGTATTGAACAAAACCAAATCAAATCACGTCGAATGAAAACAGCCAAATGTAATGTGCCCAGACTGGTCGCGTGTAGCATCACATGAGATGGCCCCAATGTTTCTTGAAGAATTACTTCCCATTCAAAACGCTCCGAACATGATTCCTGCGTTCCAATCACAACCAAATCAGGTACATGCTCAACTCCAGCGGGAAAAACAAAATCATTCATTTGCCTACAAATGGAACATCAAGCATATTAATTTATATGGTTAGCGAAACAAAAAAAGCTTCAACATAAATTGGCAATCAAGGATATTCAATAAAGGTATATACTTCGGTGGATGCTGTCCATTCATATTCCATGTTCCGACAAACACTTTTACTTCCCGCGACGGTAGCACGCGATCCAATTCCGCTGGTCCCAACAGCGAATTAACAGCTAAATTGTTTGCCAAATAGCTCCTAGAGAGGAAAAAACGAACGCAACAAACAACAACAAAAAAGAAATCATCGAATTATCCTCATTGTAACCATTCACCATTATGTATGATTCATCATAAAAATAGGCCAAACATAAGGCTCATGTGTATAACATTGTACGTGCGTAATGCTATTCTACTCTAGCATAATATCGAATGGAATATATATCATATGTGTACTATACAGCGGGCACACATTAAGTGTTGCAGACAAACTACATTGATTCCGTAGTCCTTGTTGATCCGGAAATTGATTTTCACCTGTGTTAAACGAACTTGAATGGCAGAAAAAAAAATTGAATAATTGGATTTTTCCCATACATTCGAACATGAAAATGTCATTTTCAACAATCTATCGCATTGTCAGCGCGCATTCCGCTCAACGGTAGATTGAATGACAAAATTAAACTGAAGAGAGTAGCAGTAGCAACGGCAATACACAGACTAGCCATTGCGAATACAATGTGTATACATATGAAATATAGAATTAAAATGGAGCGGATCTATATGCGGATTGATATCGTTCATTTTTTGTTTGTTCCTGTGATTACCTTTCTCGTGCCACCTCGGTTGGAATCAGATTTATCAATTGTGCAGCCATTAATGAATTTTTTGCCAATGATTCTGTTTTTCCAGTTCGTTTGGCATTTGATAGTAAGTCACATGAAATGGATCGACTGTTTTTATGTTCGGTGGACGTTGGATTCGAGCTCTTCTCGACTATGTTTGGGAATGAATAATGCTGTTGCTGTTGCTGTTGCTGCTTTTGCTGTTGTTGTTCGTTCGATGATTGTATGATGCTGCGATTGGCATAGCCGGGCGGTAATAGCCGTTCTCGAAGCCTCGATCGACACGCTGACATTGCAATCGAATGGCCAGCTGGAAAATCGAAATCATCATCACGATTAAACGCAAAATTGCCATCATGTGATTTTGATGTTGGAGACTGTTGTTGACTAGAATCACAGACAATACTCTCATCAATATCGTTCACAATGATTTGTTCTTGAGACTTGCTTGTGACTCTGCTCACACCAGATTTGTAATCATCGTTGAATCGTCCATTTGATATTGAACGTGACATATTCACTCCGCCATTCGAATGAAAACGCACACTATTCTTATTCGATGGACTTGGGCCAATATCCTCAATGTAATCCGAATCGATGTAATCATCATACGCCTGTTCGTCATCGGTTATCACATTTTGACTACTAATCGGATGGCTGTGTCGATCGTTTTTGTTGCGGATTTTCTTCTTGGTACTAGTGCTAATCTTTCTTAAAAAATAGGACGGAGCGGAGTGATTGCTACTTAGGCTTTGAGTTGAGCTGTGGCAATGCCAAAGTCTGTTTAGCTTTCCGATTTTGTGCAGTCGTTTGATTGGTGTCGAACTGGCCGAAACGCTCGTTTGAAACGGATTCGGTTGGTCATGTGATGACAACGGACGATACGGGTGATCGTCGTAGCTGCTATTCTTTGGGTCACTGTCATGATGCTCACTGTCATATGATGATGATGATGGATGTGGCTCAACTTTTGTGGAACGTTTTAATAGCAATGTATTCAATATGGATTTCTTTGGCTTGTTGGAATTATCTTTAAAATCCATCAGGAACAAATCACACACGGCTTTATTTTGAATAATTCACTTATTCGGGGCAATAAATTCAGAGATAAAATATCAAAATAACGCTGCAGCTATAGTCGATGCACCGAAAAGAGGAGAACAAAACAAAAAACGCAATCCACACATTCATTCACACACTTGAACGACGGTCAATTCGCGTCATTTCGCGTTTATTCTTCTCCTTCGCAATTACTTTCAATAGAAATTTATTTTCTTAATGAACTCTCATATGCGCACATGTCCTTCTCACAGCTCTCTCGCTCGTTCGTTCGTCGCTCGCACTATATCATCCACCAAACAAAACGTAATGTTCATTTTTAACACAACTATTGCACTTGAACACAACAAATTTGATTATATCGTATAATGTAATTATTTCGTCGCTATTGCTGCTTTTCCCACCCGTTTCTTTTGGTTGTTCGGTCGTCGTCGTCGTTGTCGTCACCACCGTCTTCTCCTCCTTATTTATTTTCTTTCGTCTTGAAATTTTTATTTATTTATTTATTTATTGCATCAATTCATACGATAAATGAAAAATTTGTTGTTGACGTTGATACTATGAATTATTATTGATGTTCAAGCGCGTATACCGAATTTATCACTTCGTTTTCTATTTTCATCACACTTCGAAAATAGCAACGACTTTCCTGAATTTCAAACGTAATGCTTTTTTTTTGAATCACGAGAGAGAAAAAAAAACAGCATTCCCAACTAAACTTGCCCCACATCTATTTGAAAATGTATACGTACGCATACAATCACCACATCGCATGCATGTTCACTAGCAAACAATCTACATTTTTTTTCTTCTTTTTTATCGATTTATTATTGTTAGTAAAACTTATTACTGTACATAACGGCGGACGAGAGTGTTGTATGTTCCCGCTTTCGCAAACAAGACGAATTGACTTCAAACACGACGGTACTTAAAGGTGTATACGATTTATGTATATCTTTTTTTTTTCATCACAACAGCTCTCTTCAGACGTTGTTACAATTTAAACATTTTATGGGCACATTTCGTCAGTTGAATTTCACATTTTTGGCTAGGTGTTTTTATTGATTTTAGTCTGAAAATACATGGTGTATTCGAATATTTTTCTTCAAACAGAAGGAACGGGCTTCCGCAGAATAAAATTGTTTGTGTTTACTTCGGCTGAGAACGGATTGAGGATGTGTGTGTGTGTGTGTGTGTGTGTGTGTGTGTGTGTGTCAATAGCTGGGAATTTTCGGAGATATTTGGAGGATGACAATTTTTTTCTTCTTTCGTTCGATTGCGAATGGATTGTGTACCAAATGATTTTTTTTGTTCGACCTTTTGTGCAAATATGTGCCGTTCTACTACTGTAGTGGGATGCTGACATCCAATACACAAGTCACAAAACAGATGATCACATACATATCAAAAAAATATTTTTTTTTACGTAATCCACTTAAGCAGCGCCTCTTTTGTTCTGATTCAAACATTCAAATTTGAAATATTAAATACGCGACATTTTCCGTGTTTTTCTTTCATTTTTTCACTTTGAAATAACAGAAATTCTATTCTTAACACACAACTTTAGCGCGGAGAAAAAAACATTTCTATTGTATTCCAAACACGCCGCAGGCCCAACAACCTCGACAAAACTACTTATTTAAGGATGTGTGTACGGAGCGGATTTAAAAAAAAATATTATAAACTTTTCAAGGAATCGAGAAACTGGCGACGATTTTTTTTTGTTTATATGTACATAAGAACACTTACGCGAACGCGCGCTCTCTCTCCGTCACCGAACACTATCTCTAGTCGTTCGCTCACATGGCACCAGAGAATAAACAATAGACCACATGGTAGCAACACGACTATAATGTTCATAGTGTTGGCATAGTGTGTGTCGTTGAGTGTATTGGTTCGTTTTGGTGTTTCTCGTGGTGTTGGATCGAGAGAGCGCGACACATTGAGCCTGAGTATGCGTTTGAAATATGAAACGGAGAGATTGAGTTGAGAGGTTTCTGTGGTGTTCGTTTTGTTGTTGTTCTGATTTGCCGTCAGTAACAAAGCATGCGCACTATTGCGATAAATTTTCATTTCATGCATCGGCCAAGTTTTTTTTTCACTTCTTTTTCGTGTATTTTCGAACCGTCATCATAAATTGACTTAATTGCAGTACTTGAAAAATTACAGATTTCCAAAATAATCAGGGAAAAATAGCGATTGAACTCAGTCGAGCCAGTTCTGGTGGCAGCTGTGTAACGAGTAGCAGTGTGAATAATAACTTGAGTGTCTCACAATTCACGTGTATCATCACATTACAGTGTAAATCACTAGATTTTTTGCCGGCAAATCTTGTGTGTTTGCACACGCTTCCATCAGTTTTCGTTAGCTCGGGTACGAAATAGTTGTACGAACGAAATTCGGTCATTCAAATAATTTGCGTAAAAATAAGAAAAAGGGAACCGTGTATTTTTGGTGTCTAAATCCATCTGTCTGAGACGGGCGAGCAAACAATGTCAGCGCAAACAGTTTTATTGGATTTGTCAATTGACCCGAGCCGAATCAGTGACGAGGTCGGGCAAAAAGATGTGGTGAAACTGTTGGAAAAGGGTTTGTTGGAGTATTTTACACAGATAAAATTGATCTTCGAGACAAGCACATCCGATGGCCATTTATGTGTCTTTTCCCAGAACAACACCATTTTTCTGAATGCACGTTTCTTCAATCGCGGCATCATTACAATCAACATTGAATACTTCAAAGATGATGCTGAACAGCCGTCTGTCACATTTGATGTAAGTGTATCAATTCTGTTTTGGATATTGTTTCGCCGGCTTTAAATTTCTAAGTTTTCCTTTGCGCGCAAAAAACACCACCTCACAGTGAAACGACAAGAGCACGTAACGTGCTTGTCACTTGGAGTGGGCGCTCTTTCTATTCAAACGAATAAAAATGAAAGAAGCATATGAATTGGCGTTTAACTTAACTCGCTGAACGAAGCGGTTTTCGAAATTCAATTGACAACCATACAAGAACAATAACTAATTGACCACATTGCATAGACGTAGCAAGATACATCGAAGCTAATCATCTTGTACGGCGCAGAATATGTGCTTAGAATTATACGTTTTGTTGGATGAGTTCAATTTTTCAATCGAGTGCTAATAGACCTGGGTCTCTTGTTTCGGCATTAAATTACACTAAAATCACTCGGAAAAATCGAAAAGATGCTTCTTGATTATAAAGCATGTAGGAGAAATGCTATTTCCAACAGTTTTTCAATATGAATTATGAACTATGACAATGAGATACCGTTGTGTCACGTGTTCATTCACATGTAAATGCTAGACGAATTTAAAAGAGCAGAAACTGGAATGAATTGAGTTCATTACCATTGAATAAAACGACGTGTTTATCGAAGATCTTACAATTTATACAGAAATGAACAATAGTAGTATAATAGTTGGTCCCGCACGCTTATCGTAAACATGATAAGGCACTTTTTTACACATACAGACCGTATGATAGGGTTCAAGAAAGAAAATGTTTAGTTCAATAAGTCTTATTGTTTCTGTTGATCTGGTTTTTGTTGATAACCAGCAATTTTGTTTTCGTTTTAAAAAAAATTGGTTATCGATTTAAAAGAAGACAAGAATAAAATTGTCAAATGTGTAATATTTCTTCGACGATTTATTTTAGTTTCGTTTTCGTGGCTGCTTACAATAATTTTGCATTTGTACGTACATATGACACGACGAAATAGTGTGCCGCATTGTCATTGTTTGTTGTTCATGATTAATGATGGCCAATTTCTTGAATGTTCCTTATTTTCATAGAAAATAAGATCGTTGGAAAAATTATTACGAAAGATGCTAGAAGCAGAACGTTCAAAACATTTTCCGCCGATAAAACGAGGTTGTAGGATCGATGTCTATCTCACAAGCTCAGGTCAGAATCTTCAATTCAAAACGCACTGATCTCTCTCTATTTGTCTCACTTATCCATGGCATTTACTACATATATACTCTTTTTTTTTATTTAACTCACTGGAATTCGGTTGCATGTGATTTTTGTTCGGTGTCACAGCCATTTTGAAATGTATTTATTTCACTATGATAAACTTTTATGTACTTAATAGCAATTCACGGATACATCATATTTGAACCAAAAACCAAACCACACAATAAACAGTTTAATATATATTCCATGTAAATGAGATCAGAATGAAATGAAATGCCTTAATTGTTTTCAATGTTCTTGTTTGAATTTCAATTCAATCATTTTGACTAAATTTAGCACATGATAATGATTGTTCAAAAATAAACTCAAAATGCTTCGCAAAACTAAATCCGTAATGATTTTAGCTTTTGAAACAAACAAACGAGAAAGAAAAACTCGTACAAATTCTACGAAAGTTGCCAAAGAAAAAATTGTCTGAAATACAAACGCATGTCAATTCATATATACATCCTATACGAACTGAGCTCAAATTACAAACATATCCATTCTGATATACTATGCTTCAGTTCAAAGCGATTCAGCCACTGAAATTCATTCATTTCGTTCATCCTTTATTGATTTCCATCGAATTTTTCCTTTTACTGCATTACATTTCTTTTCTGTTCACTTTTTTAACTTTTTCATTTTTCTTTCTTTAATTTTAACGAATCGAATCAAAAACAAAAAAAAAACCACCAAACATCAAAACAAAATTACTGTGTTTTAGTTAACACGTCAAATGCGAAACCATTTGGAAAAAGTCCTCAATGTAATTGGTCATGCTTATCCAGCCATACATAGAAGTCAAATTAGAAAATATTTCCCATCCTCAGGTAAATTAAATCAACTCTTTAATTTTTTTTTTTCGTTCGTTTTTGTCGTTTCTTTTAATTTTTCATCAACAAAATTGTTTTTCAATTGTTTTGTTCTAAAGCGATGATCGTACATTTTTCTTTTGCTTTTTTTGTGTGAAAACTGTAAAAATAGATGTAGCACTCTATTGTGGCCAATTTATAAGAAATAAGTGCAATGTTATTTATATAATTCAAACGCATGTGATTTGTTATATTCAATTATTGTTCAATCAATATATCTATATAATTAAAGTATTTTTGCTTATCGCTTCGAATATTGATTTTGAAAAACCTAAATCTCCTGCTTGTCCATGTGTTCTCTAACGTTTGCGTTTTTATTGACGTTTGGTGTTGAAACTGTTTTAATACAATATTTTTTCATTCCTGTTTAGATGACCGAATTCTTGAATACGACATCGACAAGGTCATATTTGAGGGTACCTCACCATTCCAGAAGATACAAATTGTTCACTCAAAAAGCTTGGGAAACATGTTGGTCCTTGATGAGCTCCAAAGTAAGCGTTCTTTTTCTTTTTATGTAATGCTTTGCAAAGAAATTGAATGATATGGCAAAAATGTTCTTCTTTCCCTAGATATTGCCGAATCGGACCTAATTTATACCGAAACGTTGATGCAGCGCGGCATCGAAAACTACGAAGGCAAAGAGATTTGCATTCTTGGTGGTGGCGACGGTGCTCTCCTGTACGAATTGTTGAAGGAAAAACCGAAATTCGTAACAATGCTTGAAATTGACGAAATGGTCATGCAAGTCTGCAATAAGTATTTAACATCGATTTGTGGTGATGTTTTGGAAAAACGCAAAACCGATAACTTTGAGGTAAATTATTACTAGAAACGATAAAACTGGATCATGGATGGATACTAATTAGAGTCGATGAATTTTCATTAGATTATCGTCGATGACTGTATGATTTACTTGGACAAGTTCATTAAAGAAGGCAAAAAGTTTGATTACGTGTTCGGTGATTTGACTGATATCCCCATATCGGACACGCCAACCGGCGAAGTATGGAACTTTTTCCGCTCAATTTTGGAGCACTCGTTCAAAATTTTGAAACCAACTGGAAAGTATTTGACACACGGCAATGGCGCCAATCGTCCAGACTCGTTGGGCATGTTCGAAGAGCAGCTTGCAAAATTGGAGCCAAAGGTTAAATTTACAAGGGCAAATGCATTTGTGCCTTCGTTCATGGAAGACTGGGTCTTCTATCAAATCGCATTTGAAGACGTTTGATTTTCAACTCCCGCATAGCAATGAGATTGATCGAATTTAGGATTTTCGTTTGAATTAGACACTTGCACACAGTTCAGAGGTGGAATTGTTTTCATCTTATTTACAACTAATTTTGCAAATAATTCCTTTGGCTACATAGTATACCAAAAACTAGAATATAAAAATGCATACACAAAGATGACACCAAAAACAAACTTATATTGTAAATTCCATTTCAATTCAATAAAAAGTCAATTTGAGAAAATTGCAACATGTGTTTATGTTTCCATCAATGATTTAAATGATTGAACACACGCTGACTGGGCAGACTAATCACTTAAATGGGAAATTGTTTTAGAAGAATTTTCTGCAGCTAATTCGGTTCCATAAAGACCACTGGTGAACGATGATCAACGACAAAAGGTAAATGTACGAATCAATAATTCCATAATATCTAGATGGTGATCAATAGGTAGCACCAGATTGGTGTTATTTCTTCTTTGTGTTCACACTATTTCTAAAGTACTCATTACTTTTGATGGTCAAAAACGAAAACATTATTTAACCCATTGGATGTTTATATCTTGTTTTTATCTAATCTTTTATTTGAAAATTCAAATTGAAAGGATATGCATCAATAATTTTGTCGATGAATCTTTACTTTTTTGGTATATTCAATACAGCTTCACCGTATCCAACGATTTGACTAGACTGTGGAAATGTGGTGTGCACTGTTGATCCTCTGATCTTAATGTTACTGATTCGAGTTATTGATGGAATACTTTCTATCATTTGATATCTTATCACCCACGTGGATCCAACATATTGAACAAACGCAGAACCAGTGTTATGTTCAACAAAAATCTCTCTGTTGTATTGATCGATGTGATATCCATAATGTTTGTATTCCATTGCTCCGAGTAGTCCAAGGCCGTGATCTCGAACATTGTTATACTGTCGATCTTCTCTGCCACCCTGCAAATGGTAAATACGAATGGTTTTTCCATCCTTGAGCAAATCCACAGCCAAAGAGCCTCCACTAAAACTTGGTGTCAAAACAATTGTTGGATCTCCCTGTTTTGGATGTAATGGAACATCAACATATCCACCGCGTGAGGCCCAATAAGTTTGCTCAGCCGAAGGATCCGAATTTTGTTCAGTAATTTTCAATGCGTTATACATGTTGCCATTAAGATGGACTTGTAAGACTTTAGCATAAAGTTTGGTACCGTCTTGTTTATTCAACGCTGCTTTCGTTTTTGCTGTCAATGAAGAATCTTTCACTGGGTCGATTAAATCGGTGATAAATGGACTTGATGTGAACGTTTTTTGGCCCAAGGCAGAAGACAGAGGTTCAAAGTTCGCTGTAATTTCGTACACTTTATGTGCATCCGCTGCAACTGGTGCCAATTCAGATGGGTGAAGACGAGTGGCTGCTCCGGTCTCCAATCTTGGCATATAGAAACCGTTAGGTGCAAGTCTTCTGTTATAGATATCTGGCAGTTGAACTAGTTGCAGTCGAAGATTAATGATAGTTGTTCACAGTGAATGCGTATTTTTTATAATAAAAAGTTTCAAAAATGAGGATGAAGATATATTTACCAGCAAAAATGCACACCAACGCTGAGCCAACCAACAGAATAGCAAAGCAAAGTTTCATTTCAACGGTTTGTTTTCTTACTGAAATTCTGAAATGAAATATTTTTTTAATGCTTTTTGCCACTCTCAATGATGTTATATACAGTGTGAAATCTTGACGCCATTTTCCATTGTTGTGGGTTTTTTCTTCGCAATCATCAATTGATACAAGGGCCGTATCTGCGGGAGATTGGATTTGTTCGGATTTCTAGTGACCAATAAATGTGTATTCTAAAGAAGAAACGTATATGGAAATGTGACCACCCCGTTGTAGTGGTTTAAGATGTACTTGCTTTGCGGTTTATTTATGTGAGTGATGCATAGAGATGAAAAAAGATGACCTTCATGTGTGGTCCTTCCTCTTCAAATACTTTAATTTTTAAGTGATGAAAAAACTATAGAATTAATTTCTTGATATTTCAGAATTACTGTTGCAAGTGCCAATGATGGTTGTTCTTCGAGCACTTTCCGTGCTGACTACGCCCTTGACTGAAACGTAATTAACTTTATCCATCGCAATTGTATTTATTTATCATGGCAAAAAAAAACCACTGACTTTGAATCCATAAAAATAATTAATGACTAATTGTTTTGATACATTTTCTTAATTTGCATACAACTCAAGGGACAAATCACTTCTTATTTTGCCATTGCATGAAGTTCGATGATAGAAAGAAACAAACTCGAATAGAAAAAAGGAAATGAAATGAAATGAAAGTATACTTATATCACTATAGTGATATTGTAACTGGGAAGAGTCCGAACGAGATGATTGACACTTTAACAACATTATTCATCGTAATATAGGTCAGCCTTTAATGGGTTAGCCCATGACAACAGATAATATGACTTATGAATATCCAAACCAAAAAAAATTGAATTTCAATTTGAAATGTTTTTTTTTTTTTTTTAATTAATTTGCATTTTATTGCGCAATTACACATTACAATGGTATATAAAATTTATAAATCTTTCAACATCTCGTAGATCTCTGGATCTTGTAAATTTGAAAATATATCACGGAAAGAATGTTTCTGTTCGCTACTGAGTCGATCATAAAAATCTTTACAGGCTAGTTTAAAAAGTGCACGTTGCCGTATTGCTACGCATTCATTGGCAACGTCCTTATGTTGAAATGGAAGCGGTTCGAGTGCTGGTGATGATGTAGCTGGCCTTTTGTCCAATTTATCACGGGTCAAACTATTGAAAATCGCATCGTAATCAGCCAGTACTTGTGGGAATATTTTGATTAAACTCAAATTAATTGATGCCGATATGAAAATTATGATCAGGTACCACATAATTTTTTGTGTGGGAAATGACACGAAATTGGGTAACGAGCACAATAGCCAATCTTGTAACAGTGGCAAGTAGGCCGAATCAATTGCGGATCGGAATACCTAAAATATCAAACAGATGAAATGAAAATGAATGGATTTTGTTGTCTTCTGTCACAATTTCTAGATGCACGTTTACTCACTTGAAATAGAACTCTTGCAATGACTTCGCAATGTGGCTGACTCACAGTTAAGAATTCCTTGATCACTTTCGTTAGGAGCTCTTTTGGCGGTACCAAATCATGAGTCAGTTGGCATAACACATTCCCGTAAATATGGGCAGCGGGTCGTGTGGCCAATTTGATACGTTGAAAGAGAATTTCTATTTTCTCCGTTGTCTGCATGATTACTTCCGGTTCATCTTGTACAATCCCATTGCATCGCTCTGTGTTTTCAAGCTGCTCATTGGATCCTATGGACAATATTCATGAATTAGTTGTAAAACGAAATGCTCCAGACGAATCAAAGAAGAATTATAGTTTCAATTACCTATGTACATACAAGTCACAAGCAATTTTAATGCCAACAATGAAAATTGTTCATTCTCCAATTTAACCAATTCAAGTGCTAGTCTCTCAATTTTCTCGTGGTAATACCTCGTGATTGTGTTGGAGATTATCACTCGTTCCAAGCCCTGTATCGATTATTTCATTTGAGAATGTCATTATATAAAATTCATTTATTGCAGTTCAATGGTTTTCAATTGGTTTTTCCTTTTGCTATTGCCATTACTTACATAAATGATGCATGAGAATAGTGTGAAGCTGGTCGTTCTTTTCAGAACATTATTAGCTGATATAATTGTGTTGGTCATCATATCACAATCAGGGACGAATTTTGATGTTGATTCGATTACGTAAAAATTGAGCGTCCAAACGAGTACAGTGTGCTCATTGCTAAAGGAGAGTGAGCTAAAAAAAAAATGAGCATGAAGTATAATTAGAAGAAAATCAAATGCAACATTAATCATATAAGAAAAGTGAACAACACAGAAATCGCTACTCACCTTTCCTCGATGATTCCATGACGCGTGATGTAATTGATGATAAACGTTCGCAGTAGCAAAATCTCTTCACCCAAGCTGCCAATTGTGGTATTGCTCTTAATACAAGACTCGAACAATAATAGTAATCCTTTCAGCGCAGCTACACGAACAAATAGATGTGAACTTTTCAAATAGTTGCCCAGAACGACACACAAATGATTCACATCATGTACCGATGGAATCAAAACAGCGTACGATTTACATAAGCAATAGATGATTTTCTGGAATTATTTGCATAAAAGGTGAAAATTGTAAGAAATAATTTGAATATTTGATAATTTTTTGGATATTTTTCACTCTTTAATCGCTGCGGGCATACCTCATGGGCAACAGCATTTTCTTTTGGTATCGATTCGTATAACTTGTTCATTGTGTTTTGGATCCAGTGGAATTGATCGCGATTTTCACAAAGCTCCGAAAATTTCAGGACATGTGGCAGAATTTGGACACTATTCACCTGAATTTGAAACGTTTTTTTGGAATCATTGAACAGTTTTTGTTAACAATAGAAAATGACGCACCTCAAGAAGTTGTGTGAGAACATCGAATGTCAATTGTATGCTGCTGTTATAGTCGATGGCTGATGCTTCCAGGAAATGTTTCATATTTTTCAGCTCCACATTAATGCTCCTCGATACGGATGCTTGACCCTCAATTATATGCCATATCACATTCAGTTCGTATTGATGCGAAAGGAATTCCTTCGTTCCAATTATATTATTCGTTTGCTGATTGCATCGCTCCAAATTCGGTATATAAAATACGGATGGTGAATTCATTAGTTCATTTTGAATTCCATGCAATTTTCGGACACTGAAAGATGAATGCAGTTTTTAATGTGAAATTTGTTTAAATATTTGTAAAGAAAACCAATCGATTCTTGGCGGTAAACAAATCAGTTAATGCTACGATTTTACAACTGAGATTCATTACGAAAAAAAAAATGCCCAGCTTTAATCATTACCTAATCGAATCAGCTATGAGGCGTTGCAATCGAGGAACATGATGGAACATGCCATTCTGCCGATCTCCGATGTTGGGATACATTTTACATGAGAGTAACAATTCGAGCAAAGCCGATAGACACAAGCTCTTGATTTGATATTCTTCTTGTGCGTCTGAAAGTGAAATTTACATTAATGAATTTGTGATTGCATTGATTTCCGTCAAATAACATTTCATAGGCAACTCACCAACGACGTTTTCATCGTTCTCTTTATTTATCAATAGAAGCAGCGACATGAAGAATTCTTCAAAATGATGACGCGATGGAAAACCGAAAATGTTTATCCTGAAATGTATCAAAATGAATACAATGGTTAAAACTGGACAAATGGAAAAACGGGGGGCTCCATTCCGAAAATTTGTTGGAAAAAGAAAAATCTTTAAAAGTAAATTACCTCCTCAGAAATTTCTCCACAATTTCAATTTCATTCAAGCAGTCAATCGGAACGGATTGAAATGTAATGATTTTATTTGGCGATTTATTTTGCCACTCAAACGAATTGATGATTTCTCGCGGAGTTATGGCAAAGAAATAAAACGAATCACTGCGTAGTGTAGAAATGATCAGTGATAAAACGGTTTCTCTGAAGGAATTCAAATGGTTTGAATCTGGTGTTATTTTTGTCTCTGCCGAATCACTCTTGTTGTAGCATGATTCAACAAATATACCCAAAAATACGGCCTTGGCATAAGATAGCTCTACAGCCGTATCAATTTTATCGGTGTGATTTTGTTCGCTGAATATCGCTTTCAATTGACACTTCTCCAGCATTGATTTGTTCGCTAGATTTTTTCGGACGATTTCGTACAAAGCGACAAGAAGCCGATTGAAGAATGTGTGGCTCTCATCGGTGATAAAGAAGTTATTTGATTCGTTGAAAATGGCTTGCGTTCTCAATATATGGGTGAGACATGCACAAGCAACCGTTAAATATTCCACGCTAGCATCACTTTCGATGACATTCAAGCAAATCCATGTAAATTGCACGAGTCGTTGTAGACCCAACACACGAAATATCTGCTCCGTGAAAAATCGATTAATGAACGATACTTCCACGTAAATCATGCATTGATGCTGCAGTTCGATTATACATTCAAGCAGCACAGAAACGGATAACATTATTTGTTTCAGCTCATTGGTTTCATGAGTGGAAGTAACACTTTGATTGGCATTATCAGGATTTTCACTGTTTTGTTCGTGTTTCACGAAGATGGCGTCCATTTTAGTGGACAATATGTTTAGTGACTGTTTCAAAACCGGCAACGGTTTTAGGTAGTTCATGTGTGCATTGTGTTGGAAACAGTCATGCTTGAACTTTGCCATCATTGTTTCAAACGAGCACTGGATGACTGTTGGGAGTAGGTTTAAATCGAAACCATCATGTGCTTCTTCAAATATTTTGTTCAACTTTTGCTCCAATTTCACCTCCGATAGAATTTGATAAATTCGACGCTTGTTTATATTCGATTTGATCACATCGACAGCCTGTGGTAAGTAATTTAGCGTTATTCACTTGAGATTCAGTTTTTTGTTTGCATTTGTATACCTTTGCATGGAACCAGTCTTCATTTATCAAAATATTGGCACTAATTTCAGTTAATGCCGGCACTTTCTCTAGATTTTCCGCAATAATATCTTCAATTGGTTTTGCAACGAAACCAAACCTAAAATTGGATTACAATTTAAGTTTTTCTAAGGACAAATTTCTCATCTAATTGATGTAGAACATGGAATTACATTTCATGGTGTTGGAAGTTCGATTTGAATCTGCTGAGAGAAGCTACCAGTTCTGTTTGTGACCCAGCCGTACCGTCGAGCTCTCCGAGTTTTTCTTTCAAAATTGAAAACGAACGCCGTGATATCGACGATTCTCGTTGGTAAATGGTCGGTGTTTCCAATAGAATTTTGACAATGGATAATGTGCTCTTCTTATTCGTGGTCTCAATCACATCAAGGAATAGGAAAAGAGGATCCTGAACATATGAAAAATTAAGAATATCATACAAATTTTCAATATTTTTCAACTATGTACTATCTGCATCTGTAGAAGAAAATAAGAATAAGGTACGTACCGTTTGCGATGTATCCATTTGAAGTAAACTGCACAATTTGTTTAATACGAACTCCACAAATTCTTCATTTTTAGCTACAGTCGTTAAAAATTCCCGACTAATGAACAGAAATTCCACGAAATAGTGGCTCAGGAGAAATTCAGTGCTGGCATTGTCGAGCTGTAATTTTTAAAATTGATTTTCTTATATTCATTTTCGGTTTTTTTTTCTTCAAAAATAAATCGCTTCAATTTTATGCATTGAAATTACAGATGAAGGTATTTCTGTTTGACTAAAACCAAGTTTATAGTTCGACGAAAATAAGTTCAAAATTTCAAAACCAACTTTCGCTCTATGAGTTGAATCAGTCCAGTGTGAAAGAGGAAACTTATCACTGTTCAATGTTCATGTGTTTTTTTCCAAGCACAATGGATTTTTGTTCATCGGACTATAGACTAGGTTTTCCATTTTCTATTGAAGTTTTAATTATTTTCCTTTTAAATTGATTTTAAACACTCTATCATTAACTTACTCGTTTTGAAGCAAGCAATTCTATCAATTTCAATGTGCCACATCGATCATACAATGTTTTAACTCTTTTATCATTTTCTTGGGCCTTTTTCATTACATCCACCACGAATGATGTTTTATACAGGTCGAAGGTAAAAGAGAACAACTTGTGTGTAAGGTCTGTTTTAATGATGCACCAATTCGTTCGCATTGCCGTGTTCTGGGAAATGGTTATATTTGACAAATTCTTCAGAAAATCCAGCACCGTTTCGATAAATTTTGAATTTGCTTCGAAGTGGTTTCTAAAATTCGTTGCAAATTTTTGGAAATTCAACAAGACTTGTGTGGCTGCATTCAAATATATTCCGAATATTTGCAAATATTCCATCATTTTTGCTGGATCACCGTCGAAGAGGAGATTGTATTCGAGTCCGGTGTAGTTAATACACGAAATCAAATCACTTTGAATACTTTCCGTCAAATTGTCAACAGTAGTTCCTTCAGTTATAGTTGAAACACATTCCAAAACCAGATTTTCATCGGAAACGTTAGAGATGCTCTCCAAAATGATCGTTTTCACTGCCACATCATCGAATATCTTCAGCAAAAAGATAGACTCTTCATTAATATATATATTTCTTTTTAATTTTTCATTAAAATATATCAATTTTACCAAGTCGCTTCGTTTTTGAAGTCGAGAGACAAGCCGACGCATATTTACTTTATCATCAATCAAGTGTGGACGAATTTGATCGCACATTCGACCAATTAAATGATAATCATCCAATGTTGTCACAAGTGGCTTTAAATCACTTAACGTGTGCAGTAAACATTCAGCCAGCTCGACATGAATTTCCTTTGAAACGTTCGTTTCTTTCATTAAAATCATGCAAATCATTTTTTTCACCTGGACAAATGAAATAGGATTTAAGTCAAACATTTTAAGAAGGAATGAAGAAGCGACCCCCATTCACGCCATACCTTCAAAGAATCGATGAATTTCAACAACATACTGAATACAACTTCCTTCTGTGTATTTAACTCCTTCGAATTTTGTTGACTGTTCTCAATTGGCCCATTGTCAATGTGACGTGGGAAGTAAATTTCATATGCCAGTTGATATAGCGCTTCAACAGAACCATTTTTCGTAATGCTATTTGCCAGCAAATTATCGGTGATGTTGATAATCTTCGGAATTGACATTTGAGGTTTTTCCTTTTGTTTCGCCAGATAAAAGAGAAACTTGACAATTTTCGGCGTTAGAATGTGGCTATTCCTGGAATATCAAATACAACAAAAAAATCATGAAAATGGTTTGTATGTTTACTTCCCTATGTCAATTATAATAATATATACCTAATAATTCCCGTCTCAATTGACTCAATCAATTTTAGAATAAATTCCATAAAAATATTGTTTGCATCCAAGAGACAATAATTAACTTTTAACTGCAGCACTTGGCATAACATATCTAAAACATACGATTGCATCTCTGAATCAGACTTTGTAAATAGCTGAAGAAAAAAACAAGAAAATTAATCAGCAATTGAAACACATTATTCGCTAACAAAATGCAATCAAATCGAACACAAACTCTTTACCTTCAAGCATTGTATCACAATCGGCTCAAATAGTTTAATATTTCGATGTTCGGGATTGGCTTTGTTTTTTTCTGGTGTCGATGTTGACGCCAGAAAATTGATCAGCTTGGATCCAGTGTGAATGGGTGTTGTTTCAACACTGATTTTTTGTGGCACTGGAGATTGGCATCGGATCTTATCCAGGTATTCGAATACTTTTAGCGGTGTCATGTTTTGCACTCGATCAAAATCAAACAGATTCTCATCCATTTTCCAATTTGGGTAGTTTATCAAAAACATGTTCCGAATCAAATGCTTTATGCACACCACTGACAATTTCGGTTCGTAAATGAGAAACGTTTTAATGTAAACTAAAATTTCATCAAAAAATATTGTTGATTCGGCACTCGGAAGTGGTTCCATGATTTCAATCAGCAATGCCATCGTCCGAAGACATACTCTCAGCAGCGAAAATAGTTTCAAATCGATTTCTTCGTTTATTGTGATCTGAAGAAGATAATAAGATTGAATGACATGTTGCCTCAATCATTTTTTATCACGAATGAAATTTTAACTGAACACGCAAAAACACTTATTATTTGTAAACAAAAAATCGAATTTCGATTTAGCGTTTACAAATAAATGACATGTTGCCTCCAATAATTTATATTGAATTGTTACCTTGTAATTTTCGTGAATAATTCGCAAAATTTTGTAAATTTTCAAGTAAAAATAATCGTTGCCAAAGTATCCATAGCTGTTAAGCAATTGCAGCTCTCTACTATTTACGAATAGATCAGCCTTTTGTCCTTTTGGAATGAAAACTGGCCGCTTGTTGATCAAAACATTATGATAAATGCTCAACAGTTTCATGACATGACCCAGCAAGGCGGAAGTAACTAGTTTTCTCTGATTATTCGGGTCAGGCCGCTTTTTCAACGCCATAGCTAATAATTTGAAGAAATTATTGTTTATAATTCAAATGCAATAAAACGTCTTTGAAGTTTGCTTTCAAAAAAACGCCTTCAACTTTTCTAGAAAAAAAATGTTTTTTTTGTTACCTGCTAGCAAATTAGCCGAAATGGTAAGCAAATCATATTGACATGATAAATCTGTTCCGGTTGTATAATTTGAAATAAGAAGCTCCACACAAACATCCAAAATATTGTATTCCGACCAAGCGTCCACAAATTGAATGGGACTAAACGAATTGATGGTGTTGAGTAAGCATTTCGTTGCGCCAAGCTGTATTAAAAAAAATCCGTTGAGATTTCTTCCACTTTTCGATTTTGAGCAAAAGCAAAATGTCCTTACCAATTGTTCGCTTGATTTCAAATCGAATAACATGTTGGTCAAATCAAACAAGTGTTTCCCTAAAACCCTTTTCACTCGCCGGCTGTCAGTTCCTTCACCACACAGTCTTGGTTGAAATCCAGCCAAAATACCATAAGGATTGTCCAATGAAATTGGTACTTCGTCCCAAAGTGTATCAGCAACGAATTCAATTGTTAGATAATTTTCCGAATATTTGTGTGCTATATTGCTTTTTCGCATCGATTGTAATGTGTTAAACTCAAAGATGGCAGCAGCTGCCTCATTGCGAATGCGTGCATCAGAATCTCCTAGCATTGCATACATGTGTGATACAAATCGATTCTGCAAATGTAAACAAAATATCCATATCAAGTATTTTGAATGTTCCAACAATTGTTCTACTGTCTTACCTTATACACCTGACCCTTGACTTGTCCGAAGATGTCTCCAAGAGCATCGTAGTTAATGGTTGCCACAAAGTGACAACACTTATTTTGAATAACCCAGTATTTATTTTCAAAGACAAGCGGAAGTTTATCGAGAATTTCTTCCAAAAGTGAAATAGCTGATGTGACCCTACTGTATCCGATCGGAAGATCTTCGGTGCAAGTGACAATAGGCTGCAAGCAATGGTCACCTTCATAAAACCAAGACGATCGATGATCCAATAAAGTTGATAGTATTTTCTCTAATGAAACCAGCGATTGTTTGACAACGGTATGAATTTCATCAGAAAGGCCCTGCAATATTGCAATTGTTAGATTGACTTAATTGGTTTAAAATGTATTATTTACCTTGATTATAATGTGAAACAAAACGTTGAAATTCAAAAATCGATATGTGGAAGCGATTTCAAGCCGCTCTATAAAATTGGCGATCGAATCACATTCGTTCAGAACATTGAACAGAAAATTCCCGGTCAATAATTGTATGTTGGCTCTGAGAACGGGATCGGTATGGTTCCAATAGAGTAGAACGTCTTCAATGAATTGCAGTGATCCATCAGTTATTGATTGAATGAGTGCTTGGTTGCTTAGGGATTTGTCATTTAAATTTGAGCTTGTGTCTGCCGTCACATCAAAGTCTCTGTATGACGGCTTTGAATCCAAAATGTCGGATTTTGATAGCAAATCCGACAGGTCACCGATTAGCTTCTGTGTCCGTCTTACATTTTCTCCGCCAATGTTATCCGAGTTGAGTCGCGATAGAAGCACATTATCGGCACTTTTACTAAGCGGAAAGAAGAAGTCAAAATATGTGTTTGGCACTTTGCTATTCTCTCCGAAATGGTCATCCTTGATATTCAATTGATCCGCTGGTTCATTGTTTGGTTTTGTTTTCGATGGTGACTCCTTATCTGAGCATTCCGATTCACTATCAGAGTCATGTTCAAATGTTAAATCCGGTCCACTGTACTGAAGTGAAAGCAACAGTGTTTGTGGACATAATGCGATGCAATGACAAATTACAGCCAGAGACAAGTTTTTTATCGACACTCGAACATCACAGTCGTCAATTAGCTTATACGGTACTCCGATCAGTAGAAATTTCGATGCAATCAAACGTACCGTGTAGTAGATTAACGGTTGATTCGCAATGTTGCCAATAAGTATTTCACGGTCAATGGTTTCGAAATGAGTAGCCGAAGAAGCGTCCACCGTTTGATCCACTTCATCGATTTTCTCTTGATTTACTTCATCGGCTTCAAGTCGAATTGTGGCTATTTCTTGATCGTTCAGTATTTCAATTTCGGGTATTGAGTCATCAGTTTTGTTGAGCATATCAAATGTGCCCAATGCACACGAGTTCAATGACAACATGCTACCGTCTGACATTTCGGACATATTTGTGTCGGTTTGATTTAAATCGTCGTCCAAACATGAATCTGGTGTATCGGACTGTTGGCCAAGTGAACCAACCCGGAAGAATTTCGTTACCGATTCTGTTGGAATAAGAAATTTGTTTAACAAATGAATTCCGGATTTCAAACGGAAATGTTCAATTTTCATAGAAAAGAAATATCGTACCTGTATTCGGATGCATCAGTGTATTCAAAAACGATCCAATTGAATCGGTCGACTTTTGACTCTTCAGCGGATGGGTATCTTGTGCCGTTTTCTTGATGGCCGGTGAATTCGTCTCCGACAATTGTACAAGTGATTCGTTGCTTTGGCACAGCTCAAAGTCATTCAGACGCAAAGAATCTAGCTCTATGTCACTACCGGTGAGTAGGCCCTTGTCATCCAGTGATGCATTGTGTGCAGTCACATAGTCCAAAACATTCGATGCATCTGATTCACTATAATCCAGCTCCTTCACCGTGCTCGATAGCACATCCACGTCTGATTTCTTTAATCTCAATGGATTTCCGGGCGAAGCTAATTGATTTTTTGACATTTCCAATGACGATGCAGACAGTTTCCGACGAAAAATTTGATTTTTCAACGAACGTTTCTTACTCAACACTTCCATGTGGATCAATTTATCGTTAATGAGCAAATTCGACAATTGCGGTTTCAAATTATTCAGAATGACACAAAGACATTCCAACGACGCATTTATGATTGTGTGGTTACTGTCACCTAGCAAATGCAAGCAAATCTCATAGATTTCAATTAACTTGTGAACGACACATAGTTCGAGCGAATCGAATGATAAAATTTTCGGCAATAAAACACGAAATAGACCCAGTGCACCCACAATTTTGTTCAATGTAAAGTCTTTCACAAGATTATCTAGAAAATTGTGAAAAGAAACGGATAGAATGTGAATTTCACGAAATGGTTTGAAAATGCATCCATATTTACCGAGACATAGTGTTAAGGCATGTTTCGACATAACTTCCGGTCGTCTAGCATGTTCGATCAGTGTCATAACATTTGATGCTGAGCACCGCCGTTTCACTGCACACTCGGAACTGATAGCATCCTTTAGGAAGAACTGTTTAGGCAAAAGTAAGGAAAAAATGGTTATTTTCGGATATTTTTCGTGAAAAAAACAAAACTGAACTGACCTCAATCAAATTTGAAACTTCACTTTCGGTGAGACTGATTTGAAAATATGTGCAGAATTTCTCCAGAAAATGCGATAAGGTTTCGATGAGCTGTTGTTCTTTTCGCTGTGAAATGGACAGAATGCACGGCAGCAGATTGAGAGCATACGGTTTCACTTTACGCTGTTTTATCATGTGGGCGTAATGGCCAAAGAGATTTAAAGCAATCCGTAGCGACCGGTCGTTGCCATTGCGTTTTATCTCTTGGAAGAGATCGTATTGGATTCGAATAACATTTGATGGCGTTGAAAATCGAATGATTCGATTTAGATTTTCTTCAGCACTGAAAAATCGAGAAATAGAGCAAACAGTTGTTCAGGCGTTCAGGTGCATTTGATTGATAACGAAAATAAATACCTCATACGAACAACCGAGTCGATGTCTTCACAAAACATTAACAAAATGGAAACGGCATTGCTAATAAAACTCAAATAATTTACATTTCCACGTAGGGCTGGCGATTGTATACAATCCGAGATTTGCGTAAACAATGCTAGTTTCTCCTTTTGACTGTCACACAACGAGAGGGAAAGAATATTTTCAAGATCAATTTTATCATCAATAAATCATATTTGGTCATTTTAATTCACTGTGAATGTATCAATTTGTAATGTGTTCGTCTTTGCATGATTCATCGCATTATTACCTGCATTCCGTTGTTTTGAGCGAATCAATCGCTTTTTGGAATGTTGTCACTGCCATCAGACGCTCCATTATTAACAATTGCACTACACTATCCTAATTGATGTTTATGGTTTTAATTGATTAATCACTTGGAGTCTAAAATCGTATCACTTTTATCCCTTGATTGTGTACATTTCATTCACTGCAAAACATGATACTGTGGAATCGTATTTGTTGTCATTGCCTGATTGTATTGCCCGAAATGTCAAAACACATTCGTATACACTAATACACCCGTAGCATTGATAGCTTGACGTTTCGTTCAACACTCAATTTTTCACTTGGTTCGAACACTCGATGCACACACATGCAGCGCAAATGTGCTGTGCTGCCGTGCTGTTGTCGTTGTCTCCGTGTATACGATGTACGGATCGAGAGAGCGTTTGGTTTCGCATTTGTTTCATGAGTTTTTCTTCCACATTTCGCATTACATATTTTCTTTCTTTGTTTCTTATCGGCACCGCTTTGGTAATCCGTCTCTTTTGCACCTTTTCCACACCATGAATTGGCGCTGAATGTGTATGTGCGTCGTTGTTGTTTTCTGAGTTATATTCAAGTGCTTGCGTACACGCTCCTTAGTTAGGTATGGGTTAGTTTTTTCATGAAAGAATTACATTCCAATACCTAAAGTGCAGTTATATCTGCAAAGAAGATAGCTGCAATAGCTGCCGAACAAATTTCGCTGTTTTCCACTGATTTTTTAGTTATAGTGAGTCCAAACATGCGTGTGCTATATGTCAGGAACCATCCAACCGATTTTGATAAATGGGGTACCAAAATTTATGGGAAATTCTCAACTTTCAAGTAATGTAGGTTCCTATCATAATTTTAGAGTTCTAAATCAGAATTCACTGTGCTATTTTGATAGGCGCTACCATAAAGCTTACCAAAGTCGATATTTTTCTTATTCAGACGTCTTCCAAAGAAAGAAATGATGCAGAAATGTTTATTTTGGGGTCCTCTACCAACGTGCATTCAAACATGTGTTGCACGGTGTAATGTAAGAACATATGATACTGGGAATAGTTCGAACGGGATGATTGCTCTTTTAACCCATTTTCAACCAGTGGTCGATTTTCCGACCAGTGACTTTCGATATTTTTCTCAGGCTCTATCTTCCCATATGGGGAATTTGGTTACTTTTTTTCTGAAATAAAATTTAAAATTTCTACTTTTCAATGAGAATATTACAAAATCAGCGAAAAGTTTTTAAATCGGTCGGATCGAGCAGCGATTGAGAACAGAAATTTTAGAAAAAAATTCTCACAAATTCGTACTAAATTTTCAATTTTTCGATCACTGTTTAAATATCTCACGATGATCATTCTATTGTTTTTTAGAGCAAAATCGATAATAATATTTGGAAGTATCACGCATAACATCTATTCCATTTATGAAAATTCTCAATATTTTAGTCTATTGAAGATACACGGAAATGTGTTCTGTTTTTCAACGAAAACAGAAAAATTTCGTCCAATAGTCGCTACAATATTAAAATCACGAAACATTGAAAACAGTCCTCAAAGATAAATCAATAAATTGTACACCGAATTTTTTAAAATCAATACCAATTTTATTGAATTATTATTTACACGTTATATATGTATTTTAGCCTAGATAACAACAGTTCCACCTTGATATTTAAATTGTTCAAAAGCTTAAGTATGTTGATTTCGTGAAAATCAATTCAAAATCCCAGTTCAATTCAAATGTTCATTGAAAACTCATAAAAATATTTTGCAATTCATGAACATCATAAAAGTCGAATAAAAACATTTGAAATCTAACTAAATCAAAAACTTGTTTCTTTTGAAAAAAAATGATTGGTCATTAGTATCAGTTCCAAACATGTGTTTTAAGATTGCTGAGCATCTCAGCATTTCGTAAGGCATGGATATATCCGAGCCTATCGACGACGCATACTGTATAATACAGTGGCGTGTGTTGCTACGTGCAGCCGCAACGACTCGACCGAAGTGTGTTCAGTTGATGTGGCTGCACGCAGCAACAACATACACATTCCGGTCGAGTCGTTGCGGCTGCGCGTAGCAACGCACGCCACTGTATGCGTCGTCGATATGCCCGGATATATCCGTGCCTTACGAAATGCTGAGATGCTCAGCAATCTTAAAACACATGTTTGATCAGTTCATCAATTTATTTTTTCTTCATTGTCACATTTCCTATCGCACCGAATCAATTCCCAAAATTGAAGATGCTATTTCCCTTTTTAATTTATGAAAATATTTCAACGTTTTTCTTCTAAATGATCAAAATTAGTTTGAATATATTCTTGTTCTGAAATTACTTGAAGCCAAGCATCGATTCGCGAACGAATCAAATCATCAGCACCAATATTGTTGAATGAATTTCAGTGCAATCGGGATATTTTTCACTGACAAATTATCATTGAAACTATTTTGTGCTTGAGTTTGTCACGTGCTATATGATTCCAAATAATTAAATACTATAATAATTGGTGGCAAAACGACCGTAATATAATAAAAAGAAACTTCACTCAATTGCACAATCAAACGAAAATTTTTCTCGCTCATCTTTCAAACTATAGCCAAACGCATACACGGCAAAACAAAAAAAAACTATTCAATGCAAAAAGCATTGTTATGCATTATTTAATAGGTACCCAATTACATTTGACTAATCTTAATAATCCAATTTTTCATTAAACCTAAGTTCTTTTCTTCTTCTTGTAAAATTTTTTTTTTCTTTTGTTTATTCAACAGTTTAATTTTTATTTCTATTTATATGCCGATCAACTATATCTCGCGCACATTGAACTTTAAATTTCGATATCAATGGAAATTTTCAAAGAGCAAAAAAAAACAAAAAAAAAACGAAATAATCGATACTGTTAGATTTGTCAATTTGCCAATTAGTGCAATTGAAATCTGCATAAATAGATTTGAATACAAAATGTAAATATTAAATGGATAAAAATTCAACGCTATTTTATGGTAACCACTATTTTTTTTTTATTGAACATACATTTTGTTTTAATATGATAACATGTGAAGCGATGAATGTTTTTTTGTCATTTTGTTTGAACAATAAATTTGTAGCCATTTGATTGTCATTTATTGCACAAGATTCTACGATTGGCTTATATTTGAACCTTGTATGAATTCATTTTTTTTCCTTTATATGAGTATGCATGAGTTAAACCTCGACCCAGGATTGTGGCTGTAGTTCATATTTTTCAATTTTTTTTTCTCTATATTTACACGTGTTATTATTTGGTAGTTCTCACTTATGAATCAAAAAGGAAAGAATTAAACGAATCTTTTTTTGTATTGATTTACATTCCGTTTGTTCGGTGAATGAATTGTTTGTCAAATTTAAATATTTTATCCTCCTAACAGCAATAACTTAAAATGTACCATTTCCATTGTTTCACCTTTTTCAAATAATTAAAGCCTTTGTTTCATTATCCAAAAGTAGAAGAAACATTTTTTTTTTTCAAAAGAAAGATACGATTACACAATAAAACAATGACGAAAGTTGAAAGTTCTCTTTTTTTTGCTCTCTCTTTTCTGCAGAAAAAAAAATCAATGAAGAAACAATTGGCTGTCAAATCAAAGAAAAAGATGAAGTCTAAATAAAAACTTTAATTGTAAATATTAATGATAAATTTGATGCTTGTTTTTAACCACGTTTCAGCCTCAATACGATCATTGTGACTGCCAAAAATATAGCGATCCACGTTAAAGTTGATATAAAACCTAAATAAACTTCTTGCTCCATAATACCCCAACCGCGGGTCAGCATGCATCGTAATGCGGTTGTTGCTTGAGTTAATGGCAAACAATAGGAAATATATCTGAAAATGGAAAGCAATCATCAAATTAGTTTGAGCATTTTCAATGCGTTTTTCGCAAATTTCGTTTAACTCCTTCTCTCGTTCGCTACTCACTTCAGAATAAATGGCATTCCTTCGATGGGCCAAATAACACCGGATAGAAGAAGTGTTGGGTAAAATGAGCCGAGGGCAAGTTGTATGGCATTTCGTTCCAGTTCACAGATGGCAGATATTACAAAGCCGAAGCACATACCGCACATTCCTTGTAACAGCGTCAGTACGATGACACCGAATATATCGCCATTGCATGTGATTTCGAACACTAGGATCATGAAAATGAGAACCAGTGCCGTTTGACCACACATCACCACGAATTGAGTGACAACGTGCGAGAAGAGAATTTCAAATGGAGTCACACCAGCCACCCATGAACGATCAAGAAGACCCTACAAACACAAAAGACAACAATTTTTTTTTCAATAAAGTTTATTCGAAAATTGCCATCTTTATCGACGGATTTCTCAATGTGAGATATCAAACTCAAACTGTTTTACCTCTGTTCGTTCAATGATCAATGCCGACGATGTCAGTGCGACAGCCAAGAAAAAGACGATTCTATTAAGGAGGAGCGATTGAACATTATTAATTTGTGAAAGAGTACATTCTTGCGTAATGGGTCTTACGTTAGAATTACACCAGGCGCTACGAAATCAGTGAATGATGGTGTACTTGTTCCGTAGATTGGCTCCTTGAATTGAATTGGAATGTCACCCAATTTCGGATTATGCTCACAGTCACGTAGTAATCCTTGGGCAAAATCTTTGTACGTCAACTGAAGATCACGGTTAAGCAAAATTCCAATCTGTTGATTCGACATATCCAACCATACACGAATTTCAGACTGATCTAATGTTTCATCATCTGCATCTCGTCCTGTTAATCGAAAGGGAATGATGATTATTCTATTTCCTCTTCGATGGAGCATATTGATTGAAAAAGGAACAGCAAAAACGAAGATAAATCAACTTACCAAGAGCCATTCGAGCAACCAAGGCATCGGTGAAATTCTCTGTGAAATAAACAGCACCCCAGGCGTGACCTATTCGTACCGCTTCAACTGCCGATTCCGGATCCGGATAGTATTCTTTGATTATAGTTGAATTTAAGTGACTCAGGTAACGACATGACAAATTTGCGAAATCGCATCCCTTTTGGACTGGGCAGTGCTGTGCGCAAAAGTACATATGAAAAATCAAAGCGGTTAGTTTTGAAAAATTCAAAAGATAATATCAGTTGAATCATACTTGACTTACCATTGTATCGTTCATTTCCATGTTTGCTACGGCTAATCTTAATCCAGTTGGATCGCGGCCGATGGCCAAACAGAAGAGAATAACTTGCATGACTGGCAACGCAAAAATGAATAGCATAACACCAACATTTCTCCACATTCGCAAAAAATTCTTTTGTAATAAGGCACGAATTTTTCCTCTGGATGTCAACTGTAACGAAATTGCACCACATTGATTCGTTATCGAGATATTTTATGTGCGGATGTAAAAAGAAAAGAACAAAACTCGAACTACTTACGTTGCAACATTCAGAAAGATCAGTAGTCGACAAATCGTCATAATCAATTCCACCATTCCGGTAAACGTTGGTTCCATTCAGCTGAAATGGGATGGATATTATCATAAATCTCATGCTATCACCAATTTAAATGTTGGAACTCAGTATCTCTATGCAGTTCATGATATTTCCGCTAACAGAGTCTCAATTGTATTACAAAAATAAAATAGCATCTATTTGTATCTCTTTACCTGATTATTATTATTATTGTTACTATGTGCTATAATTTGAATGTTGTTGTTATTTCGCTCCTAACATTCGTTGCGCCGAAAATAAATAAGAGATTATATTTATCATTCGATTGCAATTGTATTGAATACCATTTGCAGGGTAAATTTTTGGGGGAAAAAGGGGAAATTGTTTCTGGGTTTTGGTTTTTTTTTTTTCATTTAGTACCTGACTTGGAGGCGCACAATGCGTATTCTTGTGTTCGGATGCTGACACTTGTGCCAAAGCTAGGTCTGAATCCTGTAATCATCATTTTATTCAATCATTTTGTCATTGAGGGGATCATTTCAAACGTGAATGAGATAAGGTTAGAAATGCGCTTTTGTGCGGTATTTTTTCATAATTGTTTTTTTTGTTTCAGTAAAAAAAAAACAAACAGAAAAAAACAACGTTAAACAAGGAAGATGTAAACGGATGCGCTGTCAATAAACACAACTTTGAGAGAGAAAGAGTGTGTGTGTGTGTGTGTGTGTGGGGCACAACATATCACATATATGATTGTAGCACAATATTAGTAAGAGAGTAATTATTATTAAACACATTATGCATGCGGAAATAGTATGAAAGTCTAGAGCGAATGGAGAAACAATAACAATAATTACAACAATAACAATCACAGTCAGTCACAACAACAACACACAATTATAATACAAATAAAAAAAAAACAATAACAGAAAAATATAAAATATCAAATCACATACTATATATCTATCTATTCATGCCAAAATTGAATGGTAGTTTGGTTTTTGGAGGACAATAGATAATAGTGGAACGGAATTAGGAGAGAGCGTAGAGTACAAACAGTGTTAGATAAAACAAAAACAAAATTATGTCGATTAAGTCCGATCGCTGTAGGGTGTTTGAAAGAGAAATTGATGTGTATTTCTTTTCGGTCGTCTGAATAATGCAATACGAATAACAAAAAAGTATGCAAATAAAAATTGTGTACACTTTCGATGGCATTGAAGTTATACAAAATTATTATTTTTGTGGCAACAATGCTTTGACAATGTACACTGTAATATTTATTATTTGTAACGAAATTGGGCCCTGGAAAAGTCACCATCATCGGGAATTGTTAACCAAAGCATTGTCGCATGATTGAAATGAACATATAGAATGAAGTATTTGATGCGAACTTAACACATAATCGAATATTGGCACCAGTTTGACTTACCCCCATTGCAGATCCATTGTGATCGTTGATAAGTACTTCTTTGCTTTGATGGAAATTCAAACCTACTACACCACTATCTTGACTGATATAAACTGGAGCATCTTTTTTGTTACCAAATGCAAGAGCCGATAGCGATAAATTGCTAATATTCAGCTCGTTTACAGCGTTGGTGGTTCCTTGTTTTCGGGACAGTTGCAAAAACACATCTTCCAAATTTTTGCAACGGTAAGTGGCTAGAAGAGCTGCAGGCGATTCTTCGGCAAGCAACCGCCCTGAACGCATCAAACCAATCTACGATGACAAAATAGATCACCGGTTTAGATTCAGAACTATATACAAACAATACACCAATTGCATACATACCGTGTGTGCCTGTCTAGCTTCTTCAATATAATGTGTTGTGATAATGACCGTTTTTTGGCCAGCTTTGGTTATGTGTACAAGATGATTCCAAATACTTTGTCGTAATAGTGGATCGACACCGACTGTTGGCTCGTCCAGAATTAACAATTCTGGGTCGTGCATAAGAGCAACGGCAAATGAAACACGCCTCTGTTGGCCACCACTTAAATTTTTTACTAGTCGATTTTGCGATGGCAGATCCAAGAATTCAAGCAAAAAACGCAAACGTTCACAGATTTCTTCGGTTTTCATGCCGAAAATCCAGCCAAAATACATCATCGTTTCTTTGATCGTAAATTCACCATACAGTGCAATTTCCTGTGGCATGTATCCAACTCTTTTGCCTGGAACGCCAGAACCTATGCGGCAACAAACACAAAATCGTTTAATGAATAATCTACATTTATGACTGAGATTTAATCAATCCTTATCAATCGCGTAAAACTTCAAAACATCTTGATGAATCGCTTCTGTTTCTGTCAAAGTTCATTTATATTTTTGTTGTGACTAACCTTTGGTGCCTGGCTTTCCGCCCAATACATAAATTTCGCCGGAGTTAAGCTTGCGTCGTCCCACAATACATGATAATAATGTTGTTTTCCCACAACCTGAGGCACCCAGAAGACCATATCTGGATATTGGATAAAAAATAAATATACATTTTATTAATAATCTTGATCTGTCGATCAACACATCATTTAACACATTCGCCTTCGATCACTAATGAATGTACGCATATCGTGAGCATGCATGTGCGCAGCAATTGTTGCGCACTAATGCGTGATAACTTAATTAATTTGAAAACAGCAACAACAACAACAACAACAATAAACAAAAAGAAACGAATGAAGAATCGATCGGAACGCGTTGCCGCATACGTAGTGCGGCTGTAAAATGGCCAATTTATCGTTTCAAATGTTCACCACTTGATATGCATTGAAAAAAATACTTTCAAAAAATGTTTCATATATCTTCGACCGAGCAAAAAACAAATACAATTGACAGTTACCGTAATGTGGTAACGAGAAAGAAAGAAAAAGAAATATATACGTGTATATTGTGTATACATACAAACATATTATATGATTGAAAAACTAAACAGCAACACAGAGTGATGATTTAGTTTTTCTTTGCTTGTTCTGTTCGATGACAAAGAAGCATTGACCCACATATAAGCGAGTTTTATTATATATTTCGTACGCCTTTACCTTGAATGTTTCATGAAATAAGTTATCACAGAGAGCGAGAGCGAGAAAGAAAAAAAATACACACAATTTAATGGAGTCTAGCTGAACTGAGGAGAGGGAGACAGCGCGAAATTTAAGAGGAAACGCAACTAGCACTAACGCACAAAATATTTTTTTTTCTTTTGCGTTATATTACCGCTGTGACATAATAGACACGAGTTAAAAATGACTTAAACTGATGATAAAATTGATCGTTTAATTGTATAGCGTTGTTTGTTTCAAGCGTGAATATCAACAAGAATAAGCCAGTTCAAATCAATAAAGAGTCGATGATTCTTCGAAACAAACGAAGAAGAAGAAGAAGGAGAAAGAACAATTGTTAAATAAAAGTGTCATGCCATTTGAATGATATTAAATACATTCTCCTCACTCATTAATTCTAATAAGATAGATGAGCTTCGAATCATCGAACACGGAGAAAACCAACAAAGGGAGCGTAAGTGCCAATTGTGACGTAAGAGTTGAATGTTACTCTTGGGCCAAACCACTATAATTGCTCACTCATCAACTCGTCAGTTAATTTGAATTTGATGGAGGAGAGGTCAACGAAATTGAACCTCCGCATATTTCAATCGGACGTTTGTTTCCTTTTCTCATTCTTTAAATCATGGCTCCCATTAAGAACGACGTCTTAGTATTGATTGTGTCCGATGACAGAGATATTTGCATCTGCAAACTAAACAATAATTATTTTTGTAGAAAATTTACGTCATTAAATCACTCAGTTGTGAATATGCGTCTTTTACGAAACATGAAATGGGATTTACCCTCCCACCACGCCAAAAAATTCTGTGTCGTCCGTCTTTCGACGGAGAATTCGCTATCTGTAATTTGATGATATTTTTGTTTATTTTCAACAGAGAAAATCAAATGCCAGAATCATTTCCATTAAAGATATATGTATGTTTGTTGGCCACTCGTTGATTTTCGGCTGGTAAACTGAAATTCATGCTATTTTTATATGTACATGTTCCACGTTGAATGATTATGACATTCACATTTCCGCCTAATTTAGGTAGAAAAACGTCAGAAATTGACCAACTATTTTGTGTTGCTATGGAAAATGCCAAACGTAAACTCATACAAACCAAAATCTACTTTAGTGTGTACGCCTTCCGATTGCTGAAGATAACCAAAATGTTTGACCATTATTTTGTACCATTTCGATTTGCTTTTTTCTCTCTTATGGAAACTTTATGTGCGTCATGCGGAAGTTTTACTGCTTCATACACAAAACCTTAACAAAAATCAGTGGCTTCAACATACCGCAGAAAAAAAACATTCACTTTATGCATTTACTAGCTGGAAAATATATTTGATAACTTTTTTTGTGGTTTTGTTCGTGGAATTATTTACCATGATTCAAAATTACCGGAAATTTTCAAATATTACAATCGAAAATTCCACAAATGCATTGATTTAATCATGAATTCTATTCCAAAACTGGACTAATGCATTTTGAATTTGGATTTTGGTTTCTTATTAAAAATCAGCAGTGATTCATCCAACTGAATTTGATACGGCATTCTTGGTCAGTGTCAATTAATTTTTTCGTATTTAATTTGTGGCAATTATGAGTGACGTAAAATTATATTTTGTCTTATAAAATAACTAAGGTCATATGTTTCACTCATCGGGAATTGATTTTAGATGGACCATTAAAGAATGTTACTCAAAAATGGACTGAAAACATGAATTTGAGATTTGATCAGCGAATTATGTGATTTATTTCTTTTTGTTCGAAGTTTAATTCATGGATTTGTTCTGCTCCGGCTAGATTGATATGTAGAATTTTCAAACAGAAATGTGTGTAGTTTCAATATTGTCACTTACATAGTTCCTTTTGCTACAGTCATATTTAAATTAATCAGGACTTGATTTGGTTTTGATTTGCTTCCATATTGTTTGAAGGCGTGTCGCACAGATACAGCATTCTGTTGTCGGCTCCATACTGTCCCACCGTCGTCGATGATTGATATATTTGTATCACTGCCCCTGTAACGAAACAAGAAAATTGTTGGTCAATTATGGAAACGAAAGAATTGTTTTCATTTGTAAAATATGAAGATATTTTAAGAATAATCTATTGCGAAGAAATACACTAACTGAAAGGAAAATAGCAGACGGCATGACGAATGGAAACAAACATAAACACAAACACACACACACACAATAGATACTCGAAAGTACTACTCAAACCTCGGCCAGCGAACATAGTTTATGCGTCACCAACGAAGCTATTTTTGTTACCATTCATGACTCAATGACGTCTTAATGCCAGTTACTGCTCAATTAACGCGATTCCAAAGAGGATAAAATTAAATACATTCACGCGTTTTTTCCCTTCCTTCTTTCGGCCAGCGATTATTACTGATAAAAGGCCCATAGTTTCCGGTAGATTTGGCAAGTAAATGTGCTCGCACGTATGAAATGAAAATATATAGGAAAGAAACAGAAAAATAAAGCACGTCATGAGCACAATAAATAGTCGTCGAGTAGCTTAGCCAATTGTCGTAATGAAAGGTAATTTGTAGTGATGGTCAACTGGCTTTGTTGACGTCAGAACAACCACATAATTATGTAGAAAACATGGGGAGGATCTAACAAAGTGCTGCACTACACAAAAGGTAAGGCATAAACACACAAAATCTAAATTCTTTCTCTTCTGTCATTTCCGACAAGCCAAAATGCTGCTATTCTTACAGTAAATTCTGTTCTAAGATTCATTTTGGTCATTGCGAAAATGTGTACGGCATAAAATAACTGAGATTCGGTTGGGATTTTGATTTGTTTGTGCCTGTCAATGGGTTGAACGAAGTTCAAAATCGTTTCAATCATTATCTCTGGCATATGGTCGTGGAAAGAGGCAACAAGTTCAAGTAGAATATTGGGATTGTATTTTCGATTCAAAAGATTTCAATGAACAAACAAACACATTATTCTAATATGAGCGCTGCCTAGTCTCACTCAATCGAATGTAATTTACGAACAAATGCCAATTTTATGCGCTTATTCGAACCAAGAACAAATATGATTGTGTGTCGGACGATTCGAGTAAAAGGCTTTAAGCTCATACAAAATTAATGAATCAACAAGCGTTTTGCAAAAATTCAATATTTATTTACAGTCAATTATACGAATAACAATGCAACGCTGTTTTAATTTTGTTTCTTCTTTTCTCGTTTTTGTGTCTTCTTCAACAACAACAACCTGAAATTCTTTGCACATGACTGTAAGCGATTTTTTTTTTTGTCGTTCGCGATACAATCGACTTTTTTTTTCATTTTGTGATACAGCCAAGAAGACAAAACGAAAAATTAAAATAACAATCATAAAGAAAATAATAAGCCATTTGTAGGTAGACGACATCAAAATCCTTTTTTTCTCTTCAATTTAAAAGCAAGCACAAAGACTAATAAAAACCAAATCTCATGCATTGATATATGACCATTGCACCTCCTGCTTAAATTGTTATTTTCGAAAACATTCAGAAAGAGTGGCACCAAACTGTGAACTAATTGCATATTTTATACACATACTGATCTTGGCACATTGACTAACCTCCACCTTATGATTAGAGTATGAAATAGCAATTTATTATGACTCAAGAACAGTTTACATTTTAAACACATCAAGAACTGAATGACGAAATACGCACAACCAATCCTGTGTTACAAACAGAAAGTCGACCATTAATTGCTTTTGAGTTGTTCCATTTCTGACAGATCACCAGTTTGAAAACAAAAATAAGAAACAATTTCGAATGCATACAGTTTGGCTACGATTTGAAACTGATAATTCGAGTATTGAACTATATTTTTGGTGTTTATTTTTCTTGTTGCAGGAAGTGATAAGTCATAGATAACGAACAGATTTCATTGTATAGGATACTATTTTCAAAGAATGACAATAAATCAAGCAAAAGAGAACAGACATTTTAATGTGAAAATTTGTAGGGAATTTCAGCCGATAAAATAGTCAAAGCAATTGTCTCATGGAAATAAAAGTTGAAATGTTGCAACAACATCAACAACAAAAAATTAAATGGTGTAGAATGACGTTATTCGTTATGTTTTGTTTTTTTTTCCAGTCCAAACTGGTTGGAAATTCCTGAATAAGCATATTTAATGAATAAATTTTTCATTGTAAGTTCCGCGAAGGCGATGAAAAAAGTGAACAAATTTAATGACGTTTCATGATTCATTTAAAGAAAAATAGGATTTCAAAAGGTACAGAGTCCAAAATATCTAGCAATTTTTATCAATTATCGAAGAAAACAACACGACAAATGCAAAACCGCTCTCCAATCAAATCTGCATCAACTTCAATTAACATCACCTTTCGACGACCTTTCCACATTCTGATATGTGTTTCCTCATTCTGAATACTCTGCAGTACAATCCAAGATAGTTGAATACAAGAAAAATTCCCTAATGATCATCGTGGCGCGTAGACAGTTCGATTCGGCATTATCATTCATGAATTTTGGAGAGAGAAAAAAAATGTTGATGATGATGAAGTATAAGTCACACACATTCTCTTTCTTTCTCTCTCTCTCTCTCTCTCTCTCTCTCTCTCTCTCTCTCTGTGTGTGTGTGTGTGTGTTTATGTCTTTTCCCAATCACTCTTTAGACTTTTTCGTTCAAGTCGTTGTTGCAACAGGCGTTAGTAAACATTGTCTACCTACTAATTTCGGCTTAACATTCGAATGTTGTGTGTACATGAAAGGCGGTGTCGAGGTTTTCGATTTGTTTTTTGTTTTCTGTTCAATCTTGACTATAGACAAAGTAACAATAAACACTATTGCATTGTGTGTACTGCATGCACTTTTCGTGTGTATTTGAGAAATTTCAGTAGCATGCAACGCTCGCTAATTGATTTTATAATTATATTCGAGCTGCCTTTTTTCCACACAGCCCATGCAACCAGTATTCATTTCCTTTTTACAAGTAGTCAGTCGCCACTCGGAGAATGCTTCGTAATATCTAATTTTTTGTTTGTTGTGCTTTTCATTCTGTATTTTATATATACCTCTCTCTCTCTCTCGCTCTTTTCATATATATATTTTTTTAAATCGAGTTCGACATCTAGAGAATTGACTTACACCGCTACAACTAAACGATAATTCATTCATTCAAGTCGTTGATAGTACCAATTAATGCTTGAGGTGAATAATAATAGATTTTTGAAGAGCCTGACTAATAAATGTGTAAATGTGTTGGTAGGCGAGAATAGCACATCAACACATTGCAATCAATTAGCAGGTATGGAATAAACTGTAATTACCTCGTCAATTTGTGAATACTACTATACTTATTTGTTCATTTTCTCTTTGGTCAAAAACAAAAACGTTTTCGGCACTTCGATTGTACTTCTGTGTCGACTCTTTCTCTTCTCTCCCTCCCTCTCTCTCTCCCTCTCTCTCTCTCTCTCCCTCTCTCTCTCTTTCTTCACGAACATAGAACATCAAATTACGTTTGCGCATTTTCGTGCACATACTATTCGAATGAGGAAATTCAATTCGCATTTTCTCTCTATCTCTCTCTTTTAAATCCAGGAAATGTGCCGAATGTTTGGGTCAATAATTCAATAATGAAAACGAATTGTTACACATTCCGTTAATTCAATGCTATTCCACAAATGTGCAAATTTCGGATGGCATTCTTTAATCAAACAAACCAATGATCGGAAACTTTGTTCCATTCCCTTTTAGTGGTTTTTCTTTTTTGTTGCTTGCTTTATACTTGCTCGAGAGCTACTAATGAATTTGCATCAAACTTAGTAATCAGAATCAGTTTAAATGTTATTGACTTGATGTCTGACATCTAAATTTTGTACGCTCATTCATCTATAATGAAAAAAAAAAAAAATAACCCAAGCGACGATTAATTATACTTGTGATGTTAATCGGTTTTGCTGGCAAGCTGAAACTCCGGTTGTTGGATCAATGATCGATACATGTTTGCCTTAGCGGCTTATTCTCAAGATCAAGCACCGGCGATTTTTTTTGTTGTTGTTACAATCTGGAACATCGTTCACAAAATCGATCCAATAACAAGCAATTACACTTTCGTTTTTGATGCTCGACGAAGGGCAATACAAAATGAATCAACAATCAATGAAAATAAAAGTGCGTTTTATTTATAGTCATCTCATATCGACATACATTTATATATTCATTTCCACATGGAATGATTTTTGATCGCAGAGGGATTGAGTTCTTCGTTCGGCTGGTTAGCAAGTGCATAAGATGTCAATCTGAATGACACCATAAAAAAAACGAAACCAAAAAAAAAGTTGAGACGAAACGAAAAACAACAACAAAAAAGTGTCTCGAGCGCAAGCTCTTATATCATTTTCTTTCTGATTCCGCGAAAATTGTGCATTTATTTTGTGCGAATTGTGTAATAGCGCATATGTTTCCATTGCGATGTGTTGCTGCTGCTGTTGTTGTTGTTGTTGTTGTCGGTTTTTTTTCTCTCTCTCCTTCCATACGCTGTGAAAAAATTATACGTGCAAAGTGGAATAAACAAAGCGAAAACGAATACATAAACAAACAAGAAGACAAACTGCACTTGCAATATTTGTGCATCATCGCTTTATGCACAACGCACTGCCTTCCATTTGGACAGTGTTTCTGTGTATGTTTTTGCTGCTCCTGCTGCTGCTGCTGTTGTGCTGGTTGTTGTGTGCATTTTTCCTTTGACTCATTCGTTCAGTTTTGTTTGTATTTTTGCAGCTCTTAATTATGAAGCTTCCAATACACTAGCTCCATGCACTGAAAATTACATAAAAAAAGGCATACACACGGACTACTGTGTATTGCAATTGTGTTCGCATTTCGCTATTCACACAGCCCAAAGTAGTAGCTATTTCAATGTTCAGTTTCAGTTTCTTTCATACCATTCATTTCAGCTTTTGAAAGAAAAAAAAAAACGCAGCGAAATAAAAACTACATTCACCAATTTTTTTTTTGTGGGACGAAAGGCGTCCGT